AACGAACGTTTCTCTTCCGCTCTAATGATATAGAGCAAAATCCTTACCGAAAAAAAACCTTACCGAAGCAAAGGGTCTGTCTTTGACCGTAATGTTAAGATGCTTATATAGATAAGCAATATCACCTAGATATTTCAAAGCTGTTGAAGACATGGAGCGAGCGTAGATCCTCCATGTTCGTGTATATGCTAAAATCAGGATCCGTCCTGGGCTGTTTTCATAATGCACAGATCCGTTTTATAATGTATCGATCGTGCAGGCGCATCCGTACGCTATTTTACTACGACGCATCATCAGAGCCATCTAGAACACCTGTCCCCATTGAGACGCAGACATCATAAAATTCAATGAAGCGCGGTGATCTCTGCTCAACCTCAATTTCAACTTACTTTATCTTCGTCCTTCTAACATTTGCAACGTTTGTGTGCAAATCGTTTAAATAATAATTACTCTGCAATCTATAGAGGGGCCGAATGTCCGGTAATGTGTGGCTGGTTCCAAATGCTGCAGAGCAGATGATCTAGCATCCCACGCATCGCAGTGGTGTCTAGCGCTTGTAAACGCGTAACATCGCAGCTGAAATCTCACCGATGACAGATGAGAACATTCGTTCCCAATTTGGACAGCTGCATGATGATTTCAACCGCACAATATTCAACTTCAGTAGCTCTGACTTCGGTAGACTTCGTACAGTAACAGACGCCTAAACTACGTGAAGCATTCCTAATCATTGCAGAATGATCATCACGACCTGTCGCTCCCGAACGCCTTGGTTCAAGTGAAAACCTTTTCTCCGCCGTGCACGTGACGTTTTCCACAACTGTTAAATGTATGCCGAAAGTATTTAGACGGATGAACTACAAATACTTTTGATTTTACCCTATGCGTGCATGTGTATGCGTGCGTACATACAATGATAGTTGTTACTTCGGTCGACTGGGCAATACTGATTATGTTATTTGCTAAAAACCGAACACAATCAATTAGCAGATCAAGGGTTCATGCGCAACCCACAGGTTCATATATAGAGATTGTTCTGCTTTCAACACTTCGTACGCGGATCACACGGCTAAAGCTTGTAAACGCTACGAGAAATAAAGTACACATAAAAAACTAGTTTGATATAGACTGTAGCGGTGCTCTGCGTAATCTTGATTTACGCTATACGACGCGATATGCATAGTGCGGCACTGTGCGAGATCTTCATGGGGCAGATATTATTTCTTCATTGTTTAAGCGAGCACCATCTGCTGCAGATTTCTCACAGGTTATGATCTTCAGTCGCGATAGCGGCGACGCCAGTGGCAGTGAAGCCAGTACAGGAGCGTTCGCTTATGCCTGTGTAAATCTGCAGGTTTACGTGTGTGAAAAGGACGAGATACAGCAGGGCACCGATGTCTCTCGGTGGGACCCTATTTCGAACGGCGGGGGCATAACCAATAAAGAGATGTTTATGCGGCGAGGCAGAGAGGTTGAGGAAGACAGAACAGCGTGGCTTTACAGCATTACAGGACTATAGAACTGCTGCGCGACGTAGGTAAGAATGAGTGAGGACATTGACGTACGACATAGAAATTTAGCCCCCTTCCCACATACACACACACACACACACTATTACAACTCTTGCTACTACTATTATTCATTCCCAACAAATTTTGAGCGTTCAAGTTCAGTTTCTTAGCTAGAGGAGAGCAAGGTAATAGCAGATAGCTAGGTTGCAATAGAACGGAAGAAAAAGGCTTCGTTCGGCCAGCAATACGAGGACTGCGCTTGTAGCCCTCGAACAGGGACGATCTGGCCTGCTCGTTCGAAGCAAGTCCGATCGCTCGAAGGAACGGCCGCCGATTGAGGCACAACTACGACTATAGCAACAGGAAGAGTAACAGAAATGATACCCAGTGAACGGGCCTTTCCTCAGTAAAGGGGACGAGCGCCAGGTGCTTTGTCTTAGTGCCGTGTCTCGGGCGAGGTGCTGTGATGAAGCAAGACGGCGAAATTGCCAGCGGGTGAAGAGTTAGTGAGGAACGATGACGCCAAGTGACGCACTTCGGTATCGAGACACACCGTACGACCCGTAAAAGACCAACCAGCACATGCAATATGTCGGTAGCTAGCTGCTAGAGGGGTACTGCGATACAGATTATTAGATAAACTTCGCCTGTACGTAAAGTGTAACAACAAGAGGCGAAGAACACAGACTCTCAAAGCTTGTATGAGAGAAACGAACCGCTAAGGCTACCCCCCCCCCCATATATCGATGATTCTTAACTCTTGGACATCCTTTTCTTGTATTTTTTTTAGTACCGGTGATAATGGTGACAAAGCCGTCGAAAGGCTTTATGGCCACGGGTGTGCCTGGCTGTCATCGAAAACACAGCGGAAAGCGTCATTCACACACACCGCCACCTCTTAAGAAGAAGACGCTGAAAGCTGGCCTTTTCGCCGATGATAGGTAACACAAGTCGTGCTCCCTTAAAAGCAATGATTTAGGTTCAGTGTTAAGCAATCACGTATCCACTTGGGAAGTACCACATAGCAATGGTATTAAATATTTCCGATAAAGCTTCACTTCTGCACATTCATTAGCAAATTACTTAGAAGCTGTCAAGATCCCGAAAACGTGTTCGAGAAGATTGTATATATAATTGTGAAAGTTCGTAAACGAGTTTACGATCTGGGGAATTACTGTTGCTTTATAAGCTTGTACATACACCATAGAGTAAACCCATTTTAATATGTGTTTTTGTATACCTGCTTTCATTCGTGCCAAAAAAATGTCTGAATCGTAGCGAGGAAAAGGACGATAGGGGCCTGATGACGGCGACAATCGGGGCGACAAGTGAAGACGTGGCTGCGACAACGGGCGGTGAGACGTCGACCTCCGCAATGCCCCTGCTGCCTCTACCAGTAAATACTGGCCTAGAGTTAATGGGTGCTTCGACGCATTTCCAGCTGCCTTATGACATCTGGTACTTACGCAAACACCAGAAGTTGCCTAGTGCAAACGATTTGCTAGGCGGTGCTAACTACAAACGCATCAAATCCAACATCTATGTGGATGTCAAACCCGTATCAGAATATGAGGCACAGGCCTGCACATGTAGGAAGCCCGATGGCCCAGATGCTGAAGAAACAGGATGTGGTGCCGATTGCCTAAATAGGATGATGTACGCAGAGTGTTCCAATGCATTGTGCCCCGTAGGCGACAAATGTAACAACCAAAAGATCCAACGCTTTGACTGGGCTACTGGACTTCAACGGTTCAAGACCAAGGACCGTGGTTGGGGAGTTCGGGCGGTCGAACCAATCAAGGCAAACACATTCATACTCGAGTATATCGGCGAAGTGGTCTCGGAATCACTGTTCCGCCGCCGGATGGAGGAAGTGTACAAGAATGACAAGCATCATTATTGTCTGAATCTGAGCGGTGGCATGGTCATTGATGGTTATCGAATGGCCAACGAAGGTCGCTTTGTCAATCACAGCTGTGAACCGAACTGCGAGATGCAGAAGTGGTCCGTAAATGGCGTCTATCGTATAGCGTTGTTCTCACTAAAGGACATCCCGGCCATGACCGAACTTAGTTACGATTACAATTTTGAGAACTTCAACAATGACCGCCAACAAACCTGCCGTTGTGGAAGCGCTAACTGCCGGGGTTTCATCGGCGCACGCAAGAAGGCCCCCGCCGACAAGGCCGACAAACAGGACAAGGAGAAAAAGGACAAAGAAAAAACAGCTTCTGGAAGTAAAAAACAACAACGAAAGAAGGCCGCTAGTCGAATAAAGGACACAGAGAAGGACATCAAGGATAGCAAACTGCCAGCGACTACAACGGCAACAGGTCATAGTCTTTGTCGGGTTGCCAGTGTTCGGCCATTGTCACATCAGCAGAGATGTTTTGTGTTAAAACACAACCTATTTTTGTTGCGAAATTACGATTTAACTCGACGAAGTAGAGAACTCACTCGAGGCGCTGAAGAAGACAGTGTTTGTTCCGAAACGACCGAGGGCTTTCGCACCCAGTTAACGGCTCTGAGCACTGCTCGATCAGTGAAAACCCGCCAGCTTGCAGCAGCCCAAGATGACACGAATTGCGTCCGGGCGGCAAAGCTGGCACAGGTGTTCAAAGATATTTTGAACGCGATTCACTCGTGCAGGGACGCTCAAGGCCGCGAGTTGGGACAACGGCTGAATGTACTTCCACGTGGCAAAAAGAAGCTGCTCAACTATTATCAACATATATCGCAGCCGATTGACCTAGTCACTATTGAGGGTAACGTTGATAAAGGCGCGTACGGATCTGTTGAGCAGTTTTGTGCGGACGTACAATTACTGTTCTCCAACTGGACTTCATACGCTGAGCATTTTGAGCCGCAATTGGCTAGCGATCTTATCTCTCTAAAAAATACCTATAAGGATTTCCTACTCGCCTGTACACCAATGCTCAACGATATTGCCATGGGTGGGTATTATTGTATGTAGGAGTAGGCTATACATTATTGTGGATCTGTATTGTGCTTCTTGGATCTGTCCTAGCGACTAGAATATATGGAAATCATGAGAATCTACTGGTAAAAGTCCGTTTATGCTCAGTACAACTACATATACGGTAGTTTACCTACCTACGGGTGTACAGGTTTATCATATTCAATATCAGGCATAAACGTTGAACGATATTTTCCTAATCCTTCTAATATTTGTTGTTTAATTAATTTATACAGATGATGGAAATGCGTTGTCAACCGAGCACCGTACCGTCGACTGCCTTTGTCGAACTACGGCACGACGATACGCTCTTCGCAAGTGCACCGTATGCGACCGATTCTTCCATGAGCGGTGTGCGACACTCGAAAATATTGGAAGGACGAAATGTGCTTCGTGCGACAAAGCCCTACCCATTGATATTGCCCTTGACGATGAAGCAAAATCGACCAGGTCAGACAACCCGTCGGCGATGACCGCTACAGGAAGTACTGACTCAACCATCAAGAATCAGCCCTGTACCCAAATGCTTTGCGTGGCACACGGAAGTGTACTGGTACATAAGGCCGGCTTTGCCGCCGTACGCAGCGATTCCCGTCGAATACTTCAGGTGTGTGACATTCTCCGCCGCACCGAAGATGGGGAATGCTTCGTGCGCGGCTTCGAATTCGTATCACCCGGACGCGCTGGTCTGTTGCAACAGTTTAAAAATCGAACGGTTCATGAACGCGAGCTGGTCCGTCTGGCTAAGCCAACGGTACTATCGCTTCGGGCGCTAAATGATACTCGTGTGCCCTGGGTCTTGGACGTAGCGGCATTTTGCGCCGGTAAACCATCGCACGTGGACGCCGCTGACGTGTTCGTTTGCGAGTTCCGCTTGGATCGACGCCAGCAACAGCTTCTACCGCTCAAGATGCAACTTGACATCACGGTAGGTATCTTTGAGCTGTTCTCCACTAAGAAACCCTTTAAAAGAAATTTACGAGTTAAGGAAGAGGAGAAGTCCGCAATGCCAATGACACCGACTACAGCAAGTCAACAAGATACAGCAGCAGGACAAGATGATGGTTCCGATGTTAGCAACGTAATGGCCACAAAAGTCAACGTAAGTTTTGTATATGATATATATATATATATATACACGAAAGTGTTTATTTGTAAGAAGTTAGGATTATACCAGTTTGCATTGCAGTTCTGATATGATTAGCGCATCCGTACTTAGCATCAGTGACTATGATTGATTTTTATTTTCCACACCGTCTGTCCTAATTTTAGTTCGACCATCGCAAGCGCAACCTTCTTAGAGTGCTTTCTGCAAAAGAAAAACTCTTCAATTTTGGCATCGGTGAACGAGATTTAGGTGGTGATTGGGATTTGACGGCAAAAGAAGGTGACGTCGACAAACCCCGAACAGCAATGGCAATGGCCAAGGCAACAGTCAACGGTAAGGGTGTGGGCGTCCGTCCGACGTCGATACACGCTGACGCGTCCTCTTTGCCGACAAGTGCCACAAACAGTATCGCAGCTTCGGCCAATGCAATGTACAGCACTTTGTTTACCACCGCAGGCAGTTTCTCTAACGACATAGACGACAGCAGCGACATGAGCACCACGACGATCGCTAACGGACACGACGGCAGGAGCTAGCAGAGGTCACCGAGGAAATCACCCTCTAAGAAAAAGCGCCATATAATGGCTATGTCCTTCACGTCGCCGCTGAACAACGATACCAGCATTAACAGTAATTGTGCCACGTTGCCGCTAACATTAACATCGTCAACGCAAGAACATGCCCGTCAGCGACCAGCTATCATAAACAAATAAATTAGGCCCGGTTAGAAAAAAAAGTACCTCAGCACACTTGTTTATATGTGTCCGCACAGTTGGAACAATGTTTATTGCGAAACAGCAAACGAAGAAACGTTATTGCTACTCAATGCTACGGCCAATGTAGCGTATGGACAACAGCAAATCCGGCGTTGCTTGGCTGGTTGAAATGTTTTCTTTTGCCAAAAAAAGAATCGATCGCTCTACTTATTACACGTATATACTATAATTATCGGTTGTACCTTGGAGCTTTTTACTTTGTCCCTACTCTTTCTCAGAAAAATTACTGCCCGCCTCCTACGTCAGCCCCAAGTGTCGTGGTCGACAGTTGAACTGAACCTCCAGTTGTCCTAGAACTTTCATTTCTGCTACTGCTACCACCTACAATGAATATTTAGCCTTCATAGCTATGGAGCGGTAATGAAATCCATCTGGCTTACATCCACCTACGTAGCGATCCTTTTCATCAACGACAACAACTACAGCCCAGGCCCCTGTCCGCTATCAGTGGCTGGTTGATGCATGCTTTCATACCACAGACTCACCACATAGAAACGCGTTTCAACCCCCAGCTGTTTGCCGCCATCGAGCGTTAGAGCTATTCTCGTTCTTGGCGTCCAGTAACGTAACTACAGCGAAGATGACAACGATCAAGAAAAAGATCAATGGCAATAGTCTAGAAAAAAGTCTGCAGGAGATCAATACTGCTTCCTTCCTACTTCAAATGACGATGTCTAGTGCCAAGCGCGCACGCCGAAGTCAACCCGGGTGCTTATTATTAGTACTATCGCCATAATAATGAGAGCATCCCTATTACCGTCATCATCATCATCACCGCCGCCACCACCACCACTATCATAAACGAATATAAAGATGAAGAAGACACAATGATAATTATAATGTGCAGTGGTCAAGCGTTTGGCGTGTTCTAGACAACAAACTCTGCCAACTCCGCACTCGTATGAGGAGATCTGTATATACACTGTAGATTTTGTAGAAATTACTAGTAGAATATATACGTACGAGCCGAAAAACAGGGCATGTGAAAAATCATCGCGGGTCAGTACACACACACACACACACACACATACACATACACACACACACACACACACAGAATGAAGAAAAATGATAACGAATCGAAAAAAATAGACATTGAATTGAAACGCTATGCTGGCACAGATATAAATATTATATACCATATAGAACTATGTACGCAGTGACACGAGAATTCTCGTGATAAAAACCTCACACAGGTGCGCTGTTTATATATACACATAAATAGCGTACCAATATATATATATATATCGGAGACGACTTTTGCAGCAGAGTAATATAACGACAAACCTTTGAAGGTCATAATATTATTAGTTATGCACACGGGAGAGACCCACTGCTATTGTAAGATAAGCCACTGTACACTTCGAAATACAATTACCAGAGTAAAACGATTGATAAGGCAAAAAGTCAATCATTGAGAAATTTCTATCTCGGACAGACGTAATTATTAGCACGAATGTTGTTGACATTACGCTAAAAAATGGGTCTTTTTAATATTATTAATGATTATTTGTAACTACCATTTATACATATACATATGAAAATGTACGACGAAAAAAGGTAACTGCTACGTTGCTATTTATTACATTGTCAGGAAGAGAGAGATATATATACATATATATGGGTGGGTGGGTGGGTGGGTGTGTGTGTGTGTGTGTGCGTGTGCGTGTGTGTGCGTGTGCGTGTGTGTGCGTGTGTGTACAAGACTGAGAATGTTGTCTTAGGATCTGGTCCTATATAAGAGCCTATGTAAAAACAACACAGACATAAAAACAAGTAAAGTAATAATGATGATGGTGAAAATAATAAGAGAAAAATGTCTTCATTATTATTATCAATGAACATATAGAACAACGATGATCGGGTGGATAGTATTTATTATAATGCAGATGATGACAGCTCTGATTATGATATAGAGACATGAAAATAAACGACAATATTCTTATCTAATCTAATATTAAAGTTTACGTAGTGATCTATTTTCTATTAATATCGTTCTGAGTTTTGTTCTTCGTGCACCCTTTCTTGCTGGCCATATTGTCTATATGTGAGTGTTATATACGAATACAAAGGACGTACGTTACTACACTTTGATCATTTCATACCGACCAAATGACACCTATTGACCAGTTACTCTACAGCTGCCTAAAATTGCCGACTACCCCTCATCGCCCCACAATGACAATTCATATTCTTCAGCCATCGTAGCAGCGTCACAGACGAGAAGCTGCTCCCGTGCCGCGAGCAGTTTCACAGACCTACCCGACGACGTCAATGATAACACTAAACCGATTGACTGAATAATAAAAAGTAGCGAAATCGATTAAAAACTACATAACATATTTCGGCTAATAAATTTTCTCTTTTGCATTGTTTACTATATATTATAACACATGCGAGGTTCTCTGTATTTGACAAATACCATTTTTCTATTGCCTTCGTTTCCAACCGTACTGTCCACGTTTAGCAAATTTTTATATATTCACTATTTCCGTTAGTGAAGTTCTCAATCGCGTGCCGCATGTTCTCATTTGTAAGAAAAGTGTTATTTTAGTTTCAGTTCTATAGCTAGTGAGCTTCCAAACAGATCTTGAACTTTTCGTTTATGGGTACGCGCAAGAAAGACCCCCACGTGTAAACCATCCCATCAAACGATAGCGAATGTAAGGGCCAGTTAACGGGCAGCAGTCTAAGATACTGCAACTGCTATGCGTGTAAACATATGCACGCGATCCACAGTAATGGCTGAAGTCGGCAAAAGAAATAAACAAAAGCAAGGGAAAAGGAAAGATATTATCTCAACACTTTCTCCCTAATTCGGACGAATGTACTTAGACGGCGCGTTCATATGTGTATGTATATATGTGTGTATGTACAAATAGAGTTGCTATTCTTATCACTAGAAGTATGACTATCAATGATTGTGACCAGCTGAATAGAAAAACTTCACACATTTAAAAATAATCGGATCGTGTTTTCATTTTGATCTAAAGATAGAACGTTGAGAAAGGTAGATGAGCAGAGAGCATCAAGGGTGATTGATTGTTACTTTGCTCATTTCTTCTGTAATAACCAGTGGTCGTATGATGATTATTATGATCACATGTCTCTCGGGATATTTCTCGGGACCACCGGTTTCTGTGTATAGATGGGCTGAGGTCCGCTATGGCTAACTCCTATAGCTTCATCGTTTTACCCTCATACATTACCGCCAATTAGCTTTGCCTCCATGGACTTGAAGGCGTACCTTCGGGGCAGCGTATGAGAAACGCATTGCAGTGGTCCAAACTTGTATTGTTACCATTTGTATTGCGTGTGCTGTCCCATGCGGCGAAACTGGCAGTTAGTGCTTACTTAATGCCTAGTTGCAATTGATTAATTAATTAATTAAACTTTGAAAAGTTGCAGTACAGTTGGCTTCTTGATAACTTTCAATTTCCTATTTATTTTTTTGTTAGCTTCTCATATTGCCTTTATTTCGGAAGTTTAAAAATTTTTTTTTAAACCGACCGTGGCACAATAGCCACGCACTGTGCAAACAAAATTTTTATTCAAATAACGAATCAGTGTTAGTTATTAAATAGTAGTTAATGTTAAAATGATGTTTCTACCAAACGTTACAACTACATGTGACATTATACTATTAGGGCTGAGTCAAAAAGAAAATTGGTCATCTTAATCCAATCAATCATAAACTCGTTAAGACTATTAGTAAATAAAAGCAGGCACATTCTGGCCTGTCGTGTAGCAATTCCTTTTATTGCATCTACTAGGACCATGCGGGTTCGCTACTGCCCTATACCTGTGCATATGTGTCATGTTATTTCTGCTGTTTTAATGGATCCCACAATGGTAATTGGTACACATGTTAATATTACTTTAATTTTCCGCAGTTCTTCGGACATATAGAATTTCTAGTTTATATTGCTGAATTTCACCTCCGGAGACAGTCAGGCGTAGCTTTCGGTAGCGGATCATGCACGCTCAGACGTTTACTTGTAAGGTTAAGGTTTAGACCTAGTGCGGAACCTTCAGTATAAATAGACATTTCTTCCATATATCAAACCGATCGCCGGGTGAAGGTTTGAGGGCCGGGTCATAACAGTGAACTGAAAGAATTGCTGCCGCAGCAAAAATCGATAGAAACGCGCACCAAACGAAACGGCATATGGGACATAATCAGCTTGCTTCGGATACCCATACAATCATCAGCAGAATTAGTCTATACTACATACAGGACTTACGTGCCCAAAGCACAGAGTGTTGAAGCTCGGCTGAATGCTTGCAGAGTCACCTAGCTGTATGATGCCGCGCTGATAAAAAAAAATAAGATTTAAAATACCACAAGTTGCAACGGGATTCAGGTCAAGGAAGCGTTTAACGGAGCCGACCGCAAAGCATCGAAATAGCTACCTTGGACATTAGAACAAGTGCCATCAGTTTTGCCTAACTGCGTCTAACATAAATAATTTGCTTCTACTACAAATGAAATACAGGTCGTAATCAAGTGGTGAAATGTCTACACTTCGACGGGACTAGTACAAAGGGACATAACTGTAGTCGGCCGAAAACCCAAGTCTGGACCGGGTAGGACTAGTCTGAATTCATCTCAGGCTAAATTGGGGAAAAGCGTTATGATGCTGAACAGCACCCGATGGACTCATGGCTGTTAGAAGAATGCCTATGTGTGTGCTTCGCTCACAAACATTTCAAATTATGGCACCATTATGTTATTACCTCCCTGAAATCATGTTTCCGGAAAAGAAAGAAGATTTTTAGATTTAAAAAAAAATTGCAGTGTTGTTTCTGAGAGACTTATTCCGGTGTAAATATGCGCCCAGTACAAGAGAATGCCCTCAAACTTGCCGCTAGTTTTTAGCCTGTATCGCAGTGTTTGCGCAGCTGATTCTGGCTATTCCGTAGTGCAGCGGATCCAACGATGGCAGCCTTTCTACGGTGGGTCTTATGTGCTGTGTTGTATGAACGGGTCAATCAACCACACAGACGCCCAATAAGCTGTCCGCCAGAATGCGCTCAGAGATTAGATCAGGATATAGCCCTATTTGTCAGTTGAGAAGTTCATACTACTACGGACGTGGGTGCTCTTGACTTAGCTGTTACCAAGGTTAGATCCCTGTGATACTAGAAGCTCCTACATGTCCAGTTTCTGTCATCTAGATAACTGCGGTTTCAATATGCTTCCTTTGCTCCCTACTTCTTATAGGTCTGAAATAGCCTGAATCTGCATTCTGTGGCGTCACTTATGTTTTTGTGTGGAAATCAAGCTGAGTTCAGAGATGTATCTACATCTGCTTGCCATAAAGTTTTAGCCCGACCCAGTTTGTAAAAAGTAGCCCTTGCTGCGTAACGACGACTAATGACTAAATAATTAATTAAGATCATTGAAACAATTTTGTTCTAATTGCTACACGTTCGACTGCCACATATTTACCTTGCTGATAGCTGTGCAAATTTAGCAGACGTCAACGAAAAACCTATAAAAAGCCAAAGCTAGCACTACTCTTACTTCTGTGCACTATTCCAAAACGTTAACTTCTAAAAGTAAGTCTTGATGATCACATGTTCAGTGCTGGTGGTCATGTTCTCATGTATTTAATGAAGCTGTGTGGAAGCAACAGCAAGTGGCGAGTAACTTAAAGTTCCGCTAATATCTGGACGACAAATGCAATTTCGATAATACATAAAAGTAAGGAGTGCTGCAAGTGTTATGTTTTGTGTTGTCGGATGATTAAATTGAATATAACCAATAACAGTTGCCGTTGCAAGATGGCAGGTCACGCAACGGGCGACTTTTTATCGTCTGTTCGTAGTAAAGTGATGAGAAGTCAATGAATATCTCTCTCAAAAGAAGACACTGTTAAGTTGAACGGCGTTTCTTTTCAGCCATTAAATAATTCTTTCAATTAAATATAATCTAGCCAATAAGTAATTTATATCTTTCTTTTTGTTTGGAATAGATACGTGTTTAGTATATTGAGCTTTTCAAATCGACTGTTTAATATCTGCATAGTGGGCCCTTGTAGAACATAACCTTGCAATTATCACAGCAAGATGCTATTATCTAACGTTTGTTATGTCCAATATTATGTTTCAGTCTACTTTACGTGCATAATGTGGCAGAAAATTTTGTTGATCGTCTGCATGGGGTGGACATCGTACTTCTACGTGCTGTGGCGATCGCTGAACGCAATGAACATACAATATGATCTGTACGATGAGGAATTTATGGACGACTCTGATGAATAAACGTATTTGAATGGAACGTCAGCCTTATCTGTATCAATCTGAGATGAGACCATAATAAAACCGTCTCATTGCCGGTTATAATGAGTTCATGGGCCGCGGCCACAGGCAGGACAAATGGGAGTCCAATTGCCAAACTCCTCCACAGTGTCTGATGAAAGCATCTGCTGGAAGTTATTCATTAGAGCTACGATCAAACTATGGACTATTCTCTCTACTCGACTCTCGTAGGCCTTTATATATATATATGTAGGTATCAAACGGGTATATATATATATGTATTTGTGCTAGCAGCATGCTTTTTTTGCTACATGATTATGGTGTGGTAGCACGTGTACCGGTCCACGATCATTGGCCAGCGGAACGTGCGTATTTTTCGTGCAGGACGTTGAATGGTTCGCATTCGACTAAGGCCTAGTTGACCGCATCAAACTAACGCTATGTAAAACGGCCCATTTTTTAAAATGCCGTTTGACATAAACCGTCGAAAAAACAAAAATGAAGAAAAGTAAACATTTTAAATCTATATACTACCTAACTATATCTGTTATTTTTTGTCGAACTCGGCATTTTTTCACAGATGTTTCTATTGCGCTCTTTCAAGTTTCCGTCATAAGTAAAAGAAAAAATGGGGACCAGCGTCAAATACTTCTAGTTCGTCGCTAGTGAAAACCGTTAGTATAGTAGTTTAAGTTAATCAAGCAAAGGTTTGATCGGATTATGTAAATCGAGCCGGTTATCGCCCCTACACCTGGTCATAGTAGACCTAAGTAGTAAGATAGGTTCATTGTAATTGGGCGACGGTATTTCTCCTTGTCCCACGTGCCGGTACGGAATCTATTTAGGCGACGTTCAGTCAACTCCTTGAAATTTACAAACCTTAAAATCAGGATCTACAAATCGGTAGATAGCTGCGACCGAAGCGCTTTTTGATTTATTTGACCTGATTAATTGCAGCCATGCGTTCACGTGCGACAACTAAATATTACTTAAAGCATGGTGTTCTTAAGAAATGTGTCACTAGATAACATTTGGGTGATTCTTTTGTATCAACAACTGTAACGCAGAACATGTGTGACTCAAATAAGGAGTCACCGCGATATCGTAGAAATGAGTTCTGTTTGAGGCGGTGGAACTTGTATATCTGTCTATATTATATGGTTAAGTTGGAAGTGGCATGCAACCCAATTATGGAACCCGGCCTTCGTTAGTGAGTTCGTTCTTTCGATAAATTGAAATTATTAACTGTGACAAATCGTCAGAACAACGCAGAGATCATATAAGCATGTGTTTGACAATTGGGCAGAACTTCATTCGGATACGCTCTCCGATAATTGCAGATCATTGTAATTCAGGGGCTTCCCGAATTGGTATTGAGGAGAAAGTTTGCCTACAAGTTAATCAAGAAGAGCAAAAGTTGTGAGACGACTCGCTACTGTTCAGGGGCACATTTTACCATTAGCGGTTAAGTTGACGAAGCCAAGCGCTTGAGTACGCAATTCGGCTTGGATCGAAGTAAATGGTGCAGTGTGGTGGTCGCGCATGATGTCGTGGAGCCTGGCTGTAGCGGCTTAGCGGCCTTGCGCCAGGATTCGATGTTGCCGACGCACGTCCCTTTGGTGCGTTAGGCCCAGAAACCTCGAAGGTCCCAGCAGCTTTCAACTGGACCCTCTCCCGCGAGCTTGCCCTTGCCCCGTTAGTCACTGCCATTACACACGTAACAATGCTTTTACTGGTGAGGCCATCACGCTATACAATGCCTCATACACCACGCAGTGCTTAGCTGAGTACTTTTTAACGTTAGACCTTATCTAGTTCCCTTCTGTTCTCACTACCGATTCTCTGTTGAAGCAATGTAACGTATCACGGAAAAGTTCCCGGTGCAATTTCTAGGAAGAACTGTCGGCGACGCTCGAGTAGCTGCGAATCTTATGCTTATGTTCAACAATCTCGTGCCGGCGATAGTAATTGTATTCTAGGAAGTGTTTTGTGTAATCTTCATCGCTGTATTCACTTCTTTACGTCAAAAAAAATTCGACTGCGGTTAAAGTGACCGGGTATTGTCATCGAATCAAACTAACCATTAAACATCTACAGATTCTTTGCCCTGTAAATACCCTTGTTGTCTTCGCTTGAGTTTTCACTGGGCCCGCTTCTAATATTAAATTGTCTCTCAATACTTCTGCAGGCGCCACCTCATCCATTTCACCGAATACATTTTACAAAGCCTTCGTTTGATTGGTGATCACTCAGAATAATAATTTCGAATAGTTCGGAGAAATACGCAATGATGCGTTCGGATATCCTGTCGCTTCAGGTCGAATTATGACAGCAACGGGTCGGATCTAGCAACGCAATGCTTCCTACATAGGAAGTGCGTACATCATCGCATTAACGTTATAGTTATTAACATCAACTAAGAGCAATACTATTTAACAGTGGACTCAACAACTATTCATAATGGAGTATCTGCTCACTTTCTTTGGTGGTCTTCACCGCAAGTTCGTCCAGCATGGACACCCTCGTCACGGAAAATCGTCGATTCTCCAAATCAGTACACCCCAGGAAGCAAGTCTACCGGTCACTGTTGCTTCCCCGGTTCAGCCTCCATCAATAAGTGTTACCTTCAACCCAAAAGTGCATATAACCGAATCCAGCCCATCGAGAATTGTTTCTCTCGAACTTGCAGAAAGTGGAACTTCGTCAGTATCTCTGTTTGGCAGCATCAGCAAAGAAAGCTCGGTCGTGATCCCGTCCGAGGAATCGCTAACGACAGCACCGCTTTCCGTAATGGAAACTGATGATAGCTGTCGCAGCAGTCCACCATGTAGATTACCTCTCGTACTCAACAGCACACGAGGTCTACGGGTCATACCAAACTTGCCAAACGCCTTCTCGCCGATCCTTCGGGTGCCACTAGACGATAGTAGCATGGGCAATTTTGAGGTCCAGCATCAAAATGTGAAAACAACCTTAGGCAATAAACGCAGTGCAGCTCTACACAAAAGTTCATCTACGCACAGTCGGTCGGGATCCAGAAACGATCACAATAGCCAGTTTGATCCAGCAAGTGTTGCTATCTCTGCTAATCACTCGGTGTGCAGTGACGTCAGCTGCACTTCCCGTTGTGATAGCGGTAGTGGCAATAAACGAAGGAGTATCGGAAGTAACGATCGCGGAGTTACAGCGCTCCGAAATAGCAGTATCAGTTTGCAGCAGTTCCTGCATAGGGTGAATATGCTCGCGCGCTCCCGATCGCCCTTTGCTACACCGGAACCTCATGTGAGCCCAAGGAGTAAACGGAGAAGAAGCCTAACTCGACTATCGGGCGAAGGGACGGATACTTTACAAAAAAATGACGCCAGTTGCAACGCAGAAACCTTAGAGGCCGAAAACGCTACGAAAGCAACAAGATGTACTCCAGCTTTTATCAACAAGGTAAATAGCAACCTTTTTCTGTAGTAGCTGGGCTTTATCTAATGCAAATTAACAAGTAATAACTGTGACTAGTCAGCCGAAGATTGGTTTAACGTCTGGTGTGTCATATACGTCGAAGCAGTACCGAATCGTCGGCAATATTTTGCTGAAATATAATTTTTCAATAGCTGTTTAATAAGCCACTTAAATATTTAAAGAGTTTGCAGGCTGTTTTCGAATTTTCCAACAATGACGCTCCTCGTGAGGTGTGAATTTCAAGGGCAATAAGCAGCTATAAGTGAGGTTGGGCTTTCCTGAACTGGATTTACACAGCAGGCTCGTAGAAAAGTAGTCATGATTTGGCATTGACTTAAATAGACCCTTTATGGCTGCTTACAAGACGCCTGATGAGAGCCGACACTTGCCAGCTTCCCGTATTTGGTGGAAATGATTTCACTTAAAGAATCAGGACTTGCCGGAAATTTGAACTTACTTTCGTCCCGCCTCGACGATACGACACCGAAAACAATAACGCTGCAATTCTGGTAACCTATGGTGGACAGTAGTTAGCGATACGGCCTTTGGCAGGAACCTTGGCGCGTTCGAAATTACGTTTTCCGTGGCAAATTCCGAATTGATTAAATTATGTTTTTTTCTATGCCCTACATGGAGATTGTGAGCCCAACTTCTATGTTCCTGTGAAGACAAAGATACATTTTGAGGATACAACAACTTTCAGCTTCTGTCAACGTTCTCTGCCAAAATTCCTCAGTAATATCCTATTCGTCACTCAGTTAGCACGGCTCTCTCCGATACATTATACTATATAATATCCAACGTAATGGATAGTCGGGCAAACTCTGTCCCAAAACACAATACAGCTGTTATTGAAATTCGCAGGTGCATGATGTGGCATTATTTACTATCGAAAGTACTAACCATTGCGATTGCAAAAGTCCGTAAAAAGCGTCCTGCAGTTCAAGCAAAGGAACGGAACGAGTGCCTAGAAATCTAAAGTACTACGCAGACTGCGATAGCTTTTGCGCTCTATAACTTAGAAGTTCCTAGCAGGGCTCCGCATGGCGATTCTAGCGATCACATTTCTTGCAGACGGGTTTTACGCACGCGTAACTCGGCACCTTCCCGAGCTGCTCATTAAAAATTCGCACGTGCTGTAATAGCGTCAAGTAATAAGGTAAAGGCTGATGACGGAGTGCCACCCGACTACCTTTGTTCCGGTCTTCGGTTGATCGACAAATACTCACACCAAAAGAACTTAGCTGCCCTCAATTCAGAATTTCGTACCCTCTCTCTCCTTCATAACTGTCGGAATAGTGTCTCGGAATAGTGTATGCAGATAGATGATAGGCCTTTGTTGCTTCTGAAGGTTGCTAGTTCGTCAGAACTTTCATGAACTCCATAAGCTTCCATACAATGACCTGTAGGACATGGTGCTAGATGAACTTTATTGTCCTTCAGTCATAGAAACCACAAATATAGGATATAAGCACTTTATCTTCCAATCGAATTACTTGTGCAGATTTCTGTGTTGTTAATTTTTTGGCGTTTCTTAAACCCCCACGTATATTTTCTCTGAATGGAGGCGACTATGCAAGGAAACGACGCTGTTTAGTTGGGTATGGATGGGCACGTGCGGCCGTCAAACCTACTATGCTTCGAAAACACAACAATAGAGCATACCAATTTCCTTCAATGAGCACGCTCGAAAAATGTTAGCATCTCTCACAGCCATGAACTGGTCGCTCTTGTCGTCTACAAAGACACTTCCCTTATTCAACTTCAACCTAGGCATACTATAAAATATCAAAGTATTTCACTACAAGTCAATTCTCAACGTATCGCTGATTTATTTCAAAGAAAGTAACACATTTTCGCCCAAACCGCTGTCATGTTACTTGCAAAATTAAAAAGAGAATTGCATTATTAATACTCGTTTTGTCGAGTAAGTAGCTTCGAATCCTTTAACGGCTCATTTCAGCAAAAACAGATAATACTTTTGCCACGATTACTGAATTGTAACGAACTTTAATTTAAGTTTTAAAGTAGAAAAGTTAAGTTTCAAATTGTTTGAGAATTACGCGTTTACCTAACTGTGTTTGAGGATGACACGGAATAAGCATATTTCACGGATACCTAAATATAAAGTTTCATCGTACTATGTGTTAGCTTACTGTCTATTTTGCCTAAGGCAGTCCCCCACGTTTTGCTTTGAAACTGAACGCAGAAGCTTTAGCGACCTAAGGTATTAGCTTACGGAAATGTCCTGAAGGACCACACGTCGCGTGTCCTTCTTATCAAATAATATAGTGCACTCAACTTCATTTTGAATAAGGCTCGGCAGAAACATAGGTATGAATGAACCTGTTCGTGAATAAGGTTGCACACAGCCTATTTGGCTCGTTTACCACATAGTGTCTCTACGGCTGATAACTGACTTTTTGGATAGGGTCCCACGACCCACTGACAGTACCCTAGTCTTACTCTTAACACTACACCCCTATCTAACAATATGTATGGCAAACGATGATAAGTCGGCGATAGTAAATATTAGTAAAGCAGTAAAACAGGCAGCAACAACAACATAAGGTACCAACGTCCACCTCTAAGCCAAACGGCTTGCGCATTCATCGTTTGGGAGCACGTCTAGTGCGTCGTCGAATTTTTCCCTTGTTCGAGTAAGATTGTCTCCAAAGCTCTGGAGACGGGCGCATAACCTGCTTTCCAACTATATGTATATAGGTATCCACAAGGACGGTAACGGTTAACAAGTACAAACCGATAATGCTATGACAATTGTGGCACTTAAATAGCTTCTTGACATTAATTTGGGCATTTGAATTGTTCTCATGCTATCACTTATTGTACCTAAAATATACGAAAAGGGATCGTGTCGGCCAGCGAGCGGTGAGTAAATGAAGCAAGTTGTCCTCAACTCAATTATACTTTCATGATGTTCCATCCCTGAGCGTGAAAATAGACTCAATATTTGAATACTCTAACAAAGTATCAAAAACAAGGAGCCATAATATTACCATAAGCTCATTTATGGGGAACCCAATCGATACGCTTTTTGTAAGTAACTTGTAGCTCGATAGTTACTGCAAGTCGTCGTACCGAATCGTTTTTTGCACCAGAAAATGGCAGAATAATTTTACTGTACATAATGCTTTCATATGTCTACACCTGTACATCACTGTACGTCGTAAACTTCCCAGAAGAAGGATTACGCTTTGGAAGAAGGTTCAGTTCCTTGGTGCGTTCATATTTTAATTTAATATAATATAAATATATTTAATATATAAAACAGTTTATATACTAAATGTGCTTATCGACTGCCTAGAGGTTGACCTCATATTAATAATGAATAATAAAAACGCGACGAAAAAATTCTTTGAGGATTCTGTGCTTCCTTTGACTGAGGGGTCAATAAATCAGACGTTCATATGAGATTTCTATAGGAATGTAGAAAACTTCGGTATTCTTCCGTGCATGCGTCGTGTAATGAATCCTGTTCCTTTAAGAATCTGAAAAACGCGTTTCAGCTCTTCCTAGCTATTACGCAAAATGTTCACGTTAGTAATAATCAAAAGCTCACTATAGCATAGTATATTTATTGGAATCCACGGCTGTAAAAGCGACGCATCGTTGACTCTTATATTTCGTGTTTAGACTGAGGTATCTACCCTGAGCATATCGCTTCGTTCAGTATGGGGTTTGTTGAGCAAGACTGCCCTCAAACAAAAGCGGATCCTAGGTGTCTGCCCGTTGAAAGCCATGATCGTGTTCACGATATAGTCGCAATTAAGCTTAGAGTTGACGTGTGACAAAACGTATTCAAGCCCTACTTAACCAAATAATCCTACGTGTCAAGGAAGCCAAAGAAATACATTTGATACAATTACATTTGGTAGGCGTAAACATAACGATTGCGTTCGTTCTCTGCGACTGTATTATTTAGCATTCGTACGGCTAAGATTGAAGGATAAAGCTGTTTTGAAGGCAGTTTTGACTGTTTCAGTGTGAAGTGCTGTTATATAAATGTGTTTATTAGGGCAATGTATTAATAAAATGTTCGTCGCCGATTGTCCCGAATATCGAGATTTGCCCTTAAGCCTTGTAATCGCCTCACTTTATTGATAATAGATGCAGAGTGACTATGCGTCGCACTAAACAATAGTTCAGAGGCCATTGCTGCGGGATGTCGACAATGTTTAACGTTGTATGGAATTTCCGAGACAAAATGCGTGCACACCGAAGTGCATATACCCTTCTCCCCCCTCCCCCCTGAACATGTGCGTATTTCGTATAAAAACATTGGTTGCGAGTCGCTCCTTTAACAAAAATAACGAGCAGACCTACAAGCCTATCTGAAATAGCAATCTTTTTTAAAAGAAAGTCCTGCACATACTGCTGGCCTCTACCGACTCGCTTTTTAGGTTTCGAAGAGGTGAAAGTTGATTGTTTCGACATTAAGACATGAGTTTGTTCTGCTACGTTATTTAGCACTTTTTTTGCGGTTCTTTGCATGTTAGTTTCAGTACCCTAAATCAAGGTATGGAGCTGCTTTCTATGAGAATGGATACATCCGATGAGGTATAAAGTCGTGTTTATATACGAAGGACTAGCTGTTAATTTCCTTTCACCGTCCAAACTCCTCCATTTCCTCGCTGAACTTAGTCCAGCCCCGGATATATACCTAAGCCACTATGTTTTGCGTTTCACGTCCGGTCTCGCCGTTAGGCATTCCATCAGACGGTTGGCTCCCAGTGTGAAACGCAGTCTGTCTATGTCCGGGTTCGAACTTTGACCACAACGTGTCCCTCGGATTAGCAGGCGAATACGTATCCACTAAGCTACTGCATGTACACCTGTAGCAGTCAGACGTCAAGTAGTGGTTTGCGCAGTACGTACATTTGTTAAAATTATCCTAACTCGAGCCCCACTTGCATCCAACTTAGTAGATCGGTGGCGAGTGTAGGACTGACTGAATAGTCTGCAAAGCTCTTGGGAATAAAGTTCAACGTCGACCAACATTTGCCCTGTTCTAGTATTTCGCTTATCCGCATAAAGGTAGAAAGAAAATTACACCTATAACAAAGATAACGTCAAATAAGGATTAGTTCTTATATAATATTAACATACCAATTGTTTAGCCTTAGCACACTTCTACATGGAACAGTTCATATAAAAATGCACATTTTTACCAATTATGACATGATAGGTTGCTTATTAAATGGTTTATATTTCTAAATGAGTATACAGCGCTGTTTTAGGACGCCAAACACAAAGTTACTGTCGTCGATACACAGTAAACCAAATGAATATTTCTAAGGAAAATCAAATTTTTGCCCCCCCTTTTTAGAGGGACATAAGGTAATTATCGAATTCAGTGTACTTTATTCCACGCTGCATTTCCCAGGACGAAGCTACACCAATCAAAATAAATCAGCTCTATCTGTGCTCTGTAAAGGGAGTTGTTTTCTAGAACTTAATCTGCGTCAAAGCGTCTCTTTTGCCATTAAAGACGCCTAGAGCACACTGGTTTATGTGACACAATTCTGCTATTGTACATCTGATGTTAAATCAGCGCGCACGATGCTTGTAGCCGCCTTCTGTAGAACACTAATGTGGCATTGTTTTCAAACATAAAATATGAAAGTGACCTTATTTCTGTCGATCTAAAACCCACAATTACTAGGTATTGGGAAGAAAAATTACCTTTTTCCTCCTGGAAGGAAAAACATTTGGCCAATCGGTTCTATCTTCCGCTTCAGATTGCCCAGAACTGAACTATAACGACCCACAAAACACCACGACAATCGGACCATTTCAAGTTAACGGACACAAACTTTTAATAGTATAGCAGAGCTCCACCTGCGGGCTTCGCTCTGCGTGTGATTCATTATTGTATAAATAGAAAACGAATTTTACTTAAGTGGTACGAACTCTATTTTGAGTTAATAACAATGCAGTCGTTTAAATGTATATAGTTTGTTATGTAATATAATTTTTACACTGATGACAAGTTAGTGCGGACGATGCCGGTGGCTGGATTTTTTTTTCACAGTGCTTGGTTTATGGCTAATCTAATTAACATTACTCTCTATAAAGATGAACGAACTATCTCCTCTATGGACAGAAGTATTTGCTAAAATTTACACTACTTTACGGCACATCTCGGCAAACAGTCGCTGAATTGGTGCCATCTTAAGAGTCATTCTGGGCCGGACAGGCCGGCACTCGTAAGTGCACGTAGATGGATGGAGCTAAGGCTACGCCTAAAACTATGAGTGCACTCAATCTAAAATTCTGTCGTTACTTTAAACTAAAATCTCCTATTTTTCAAGGAAAATACAGTGTACATTGCGTACATTATTAGCGACGATATCGCTATCAATCTGCGAAATTATTAGCCTAGCTTCTGTCGATCTGATAATCTGTCTGGGGAGCAAATAAACGAACCCCAGATGCTTTGAGTAGCGCCCATACACTTTAAAAACAAGTTTACGGAGTTTCATCAAAGTGCTTATAAACCATCTAAAACAGCTATAAACAAACGTCGCCTATCATTAGGCGTCTGAGCTTTGGCGCAGATTCTTGCAATGGTGGTCTAACTATCACACTTTGTGCCTAGATCTAGTGAAGGATTTTCAAGTCGTTCTTGAGAGAACCTACTTAGGCTGCAGAACACCTATTTAGAGCTCGAAATTTACCAAAAGTGCTGGTCTCGATCTAAAACGAGCAAACGCTGTCGTGTACACACTGAAAAGCTTAGGAAATTACGAGCGCATTCAGTCCTACCTTTTAAAGGAACTAGAGATGAAGGTCGCGCTGGCAAAAAAGTAGGCCCGAGCGATTATGCTGGCCGAAGCTAACGTTAGGCACATTGAAGCTGACATTGTTGCGTTCAACGCAAATAATCCATTACTAGACAAGGCCCTACGGGTTATCTTTCCGCTTATCATACCGACTCAACTCGTGGGTCGGATGATTTTATGTATACGTTCATTTGACAAAAGCGAGACCTTCATGCCGTAGTCTATAGGCAATTAATGTGCACCTTATAATAGTATACCTGGTCCTTGAATGTCGATTTTTGCTGCGCCAATAATAAATAGGTGATCTAGTTAGCGACAAAAAAACCCTACGGACATCAAATGCTACCGAGAATAAGAACTGATGAACTTTTCGTGGCCATACTGCTTCAGTGAGCTGATACCCGACAAATGGAAAGACGCCGACTATATCAGAAAGCCAACTAGCGAACCGGATCCGGCTTTGCAGCGCGCATCTTATGCAGACGGAGTCCATCTTGGAACTTGTATTAGCATTGACATATTTGGTGTTCGTAGCTATATAGGCCGTCTACAAAAACATCGCTGGTCCTTCAATATATTCGTCCTACAGCAACAAAACGTACAATCCTGAAATGAGAGTCTACTGTGGATATGCTTTGACATTGGTCGAGATATTCGGTTGAAAACAAGAAATAACGGAAAATATCAAATACTGACTGATATACTAACTAACCGAGGGTCAGCCTCTGCGATGTACCTATTAAAGAAGCTTGAGTGTTGATTCTCTTTGTATAATCTTCTCAGAAATAGAGCTGGGATCAGTTCTACTGCTGCGTTAGCACGGGCTTTGACTTCGATTGTCCTCTGAGTCACACAACTTCAAGGCAAAAAACAAATGTCGCCTTCTGTTTCTCGATTACGTAAAGCAATCGATCCGCGATCGAAAAGAAGTAACAACCATTCTAGTCCATTTTTCTTGCAGGTATTACGTCCACACTTCTGGTCACAGACGGAAATATGTAGTGGCGAAAATTCGACGTACATCGGAGGTTACCTGCGCACGCCAATGGTGGCTGATGTTTTTGCTTAACCGATCAGTTCAAATCGAACTTCAACGTGAACTCGAAAGTCGAGTAACCTCCAGCGTCTAAATGGGAAATGGCAGCACCCATTCATGCGTTTGGCTTGTTTATATATAGATATTTATACCAAATTGAGTTTTCCGTTTTAGCTAATTATCAAGGCCTCTGTGATCCCGCTGTGACAACCGCTAACACTGGCTGAAAAATCTATTTTTTCAAAATCCTTCCTTCTCATGGTGTCAAACTCGCTCTAGAGCGGATTGTTTCTTCATTACCTTGAGTATGGTTTAGTATCCGTGTTAACAGGACCTTTTAAAGCGTGCTGATATAGTAACGAAAAGTTGCAAACGACCACATTTCATTTACCTCAACTCTCATTTCAGTTATGTAATTATCTGAAAGATATGTAATTTGTCAATCGATGACCTTCCTTACGAGACCAAGTCGCAGTGGACCCCGATATCCATAGATGCGTGCCCGCCCACTAAAGACATTGAATAGTCCCGCATCAATGTTTGATCGTGTCTGTGTTCCACAAGAACAGAGTTTTTGTTTTTCTTTTTTTGGAGTAAGAGAAAGGACAACGAAGCCCTTCTAGCGCAGGCCCTCTCTGGACACTACCAAGGGATCTTGTACTACATTGACACCTAATAGCACTTGATATGGTGTTATTTACAGGTGTTTTTGAAGGAGCACGTGCGAGTCAAGCGTGAGATGCTGAGTATTATTACTGGAGCATCACAGGTCGACTATGCGGAGAGCGACTTCGTACAAGACTGCCTCTTTTGGCACAACCATTTCCGACGGAAGCATCAGGCTCCATTTCTTCTCCTTTCACTTCACGTATGCCATTGTTTAGGTTTTTTTATTCCACATGAGCATCAGTCAAATAGAATTGGGCACATTTCCCGCGAGCCTTGATGTCAGCCGTCCGACATAGATTCCGAGCACGAAGCTTAAGCATTTATTCAAATGGGGGCGCAGCTAGTGCATATAATGTTATAAGTGTGAGTCGCCTGACTAATGTTTGTACGATACTGGAGTTATGACAGCGTTATAGAGCTAAATAAAAATGAATCGGTCTTCTTGAACAATAATATTTGACTGGTAGTGCTGGGGCAGATGTCTATCAGAACCAATCATTTGGCCTTGAGGAGGAAAAGAGCTTAGTGCATAAGCGAATTTAAATAGGCAAGGAAACAGTAAACAAAAATACCACTGATGGTACGTTACAAACGAAGTTATGAAACGCAATTAGTTACGCGATGTTTTATAAATTTCAAAAGTCTACAAATAAATGGAAAGAGTTGGTTAAAGTGTATACTATACCGTCAATCGATTATCTCTTAATCCGAACTAGTCGCTATAGAGAGACACAAACGGTGGCCTTAAAACAAGTTCATTTAAATATAAAGTTATTACATTTCCAAGGTCTTTTATGCTCGTCTGCTAACCGACGGTTTTTCTGGATCAGTTATGTGAGCAAGCACAACAGTTGGCGAATTTCATCGCACACACAAATGACCTTTATCATCGAAAACTTCGAGATATTGGACAGAACCTGTACGTCGAGTCTTCATATACACAGGAAAACTTCGACGTCAATGGTTTGTTGATAGGTTGAATACGTTTTTTGGCAAAACTAATCAAGTAGTATCAATGTACAATGAAAGAAGGTGATCACTTGGAGTATTCAGCACTTGTTTCGAAAAACGCCAGCGTATACAGCCATTTGTACATCTACAATAACTTGCTTATTCTCGGCAGCCTTATATAGCTAGCAGTTGAGCTGTAGGATGCTACAGAGGTGAAGTTTGCTTTTCCATAAAGTTCTCTATAGCAATGTGTGATCATTTAGAGAAGGAAATTAGAAAAATGCGGTCTTCATTCGCTTCTGATTGCCTTATAGGCGAGACTGTTGTAAAACATTGGTATCAGGAACAGAAATACTACGACTACTATCAGAATCAGGATCTTCTTCACACCCAGGCTTCGCGGTTCACTCAGCTTGTGTGGAAAAGCAGCCAGAAAATTGGTATTGGTAAAGCTACGATTGGAGGTTTGTAATGCCAGAGAGCCTTTCCTCACCGTCTTCTTTTTTTTGTTCAGAATCAGACACCGTTAGGACGTTGAACATTGAGAGCTTTCAAGGTGTGTGACTTGATCGTAAGCAGGTAGTGGTCTAAAAAATGAACATTCGACAAGCCTTAGTCAGGTTCAAATCTGCACAGAACTCAACAAGACGTTTTTTTCTTTTTTGTTCAGCGTTACCAATTAACTTATTTGAACAAGTTAAATAATTTATTCGTGTCTTCGAAGTTTCCCTTTTCTACGTATAGCATCAACGACCTTCTTCCATTAGGAGACTACCCAGATGAAGCCTCACTGGATCTCGCTGGGGTCTCTCCAACAGACTTAAATCTGCCACTTCTAATACTCTTCATATACCCGTTTCAACCATTACAGCTAACAAAGTGATCATTGTGACGTTGTATAAACCGGCGGGTAACGTCGTCGGAGAGTTTCATAATAATGTATTCGCGATTCCCATCCGAAGGACAGCGTTTTCTCTCGGGAGCGCAAGTACATCGGCCGCTCAATCCGACGATGACTCTGCAGCGGCTTCGCCCACTTCATCCCTCGACAATAATCACCTCACCAGTAGCACAAATTGCGAAGCGATCTTTTAACTTCATCTCCCTCATCGCATGCTCGATTAGTCCCCTCCCCCCCCCCCTCCTTTTTTCCCCTCAGCAAACGATAGGGCGATGGCTTTAAGAAGCCTTCTCCCCGTGGAACTGCAACTTGATTATTTAGAGAATTTTTGACGTTTTGCTAAACTTAGCGAAATGATGGGAATTTGATACAATCTCTATCTATGATCGAAATCTATGTGAGTATCGCGTTGTGATAATGATATGGATAGGAAAAGCTGAACTTCAAATAATGAAAAAAAAGCATTCTAATTGTGCCCTATCTCCCAACTTGGATCGTTTATATGCATAACAGTGTCACAATGGAATCAAGCTACTGAAGTGGGGGGGGGGGGGTTACTTTCACGTAAGAATTATTTTACATAACAGTTGTGCAATATTATGTATAAAGTATGCTAATAAAGGACAATGGTTTTATAAAAAAACAAAAACAAGCAGTCATCTTAAGAGGTAGCCTGAGTTTGTAGATGTAATTTTCTATAGCCTAAGCAGTTATCACTTGTACCTTCACTTAAAGATTTAACGATGAAATCGATTATCAACTGGTCCCGATGACTTTCTTTATATAAAAATATTGCTGTCATTTTTTAAAAAAAAACTGCTGATTGATTCAAGCTTGTAAATACCGACGCCATCCCAATTAAAAGCACTTACTAATAAATAGAAAATTCTCGATCTGAAGATTCTCACAATCTGTGTTTCTCCCAAAAGTTGAGATTCAATCTGGTTTATGATCGCTGATTTATTAAAGGGTACAAACAGACGTTTGCTAGCAACGTAACAAAGCCAGCAAACGTCTTATGGCTGTATGCAAGTCACGGATTTCTTTTCGAGCGTAATATCAGTGGTTAAATATTGTTTCTGTTTTACTTTGTCGTGCAGCGTTTGTAAACAAATGTACATGCCTAATATTTCCTAAAGAAAAAGCTTGAAAGGTGTGATTTAAATTGCCTCATTCCAGATGGCTCACATACGGCGATACCTATCCGTAACTATGTCCGTACATGTACGTAGCGTGCATTTGATTTTTAGCTACGTATCTATCCAGTTTCTCGTTAAAGCGCAATTGAATTTGTTCCTGGTGCGTTAATCTCGATCTCGTATTGGCTGACGCTCCTCATCGTCCTTCGACGGTGAGCTCCACAAAGCGGCCGGCCTTCAGCAATTTATATTATCTTGCCGTCGATTGGCAACCAGAACGACGAATATTTCTTCTTAAACACGATTGGATCCCGGCGGGGGGTGCCGTGGCGCCGTTCAGCATTTCGGAAGCTTAGAAAAAACTTCTCTTCGCTCGGATGACTAATGAAATTTGCTCCAGTTGAACCTAAGGCAATTAGCGACAGGTAGTTGGATACAATTTCTTCTTCTTACGTCGAGTTCGTTCGAAAAAATATAGCGAAACAAAAATGATTACAAAAATGAAAAAAGCGACTTCATTAGAGACCAAATTCTAGAAATTAACGATGATGACAGTAAAAATAGCTACTTAATAATAGTAGGTTACGATGCCTTCGAATGTATGGACAGCTCAGAAGGCTAGATAATTTCCAGCAAGCTTGCTTATTGTTTTATTACGACGGCGTTGATAGTGATGATCAACGCCATCGTTAGCTTTCCAATGATAAAATAAACATAAGATTGTTAAGCTTCGATCGGACAAAACAGCGGTAGCAGCAAGACAAATAGTAAAAAAAAACTTAGCCGCCGTTGGATGTCCTAGACACACGAATTGCTTGAAAATTTCGGTTAACAAAAACATAGTGGGAGCAGTTGCTGCGATAGAAGTTAGAGATGGGCTTGCCCTAGCTTCAGTGTATACTTTATGGAAAACAGTAGTTGAATAGCATTATGACTGCGCGGATTAATGCTGTTTACTCAAGGATACGTTCGTTGTCAGGTAGCCCGTCTGCTGGTAAGCATTTGTAGTCGCGCTTTAGACATGGGCCTCACAACGCCTTTATGGTACTAGGAGTTCGATGGGGTATACAATTTAGATGATTGCTTACCTTAGAAGTAGGCTACTCATGTCTTTTGGGTCATAATTTTACCAATTCAAATATTGCTGCTTTCTCTACGTGACCCTAAATATGTTCCAATAAATACAGCAATGTACAGGCCTTGAACACTAGCATCTTCCGCGACGTGAGCGGAAGATTCCCAAATGCCAATTTTTTGTTCAGTGCTGGGCCTTTTTGCATCGCAACATCAGACCTCTAGCCGAAAAGAGTTTTGACTACAAGGATTTGTCACAAGGAACTATTAAATAAGCTCAACATTGTGCGAATGAATTTGTTAGCCACAACAACGCCCTCGGTGTCGTGGACGTGTTCCGACTTTACAGCTCTTACTAAACAAATTGCGCTGATGTACGCACTAACGAATTTGTCTATACTGGCCTTATCAGTCCCTCCGCATGAAATACCTTGAAAATTGTGTGCCAAATACCTCGTGTTAGACCCATATAACTAAGACATCCTGCAACGTAATTCGGTGGGTCAGCAGCGGGCATAGTCAGCTTGTCAGAGTCAATAAAACGGGTCCGAGCTGCAATCTTTTAACAACAACAACAACAACAAAGAAACTCCTCATGTGAACTACCTTTTTTTTGCTCACTCAGTTCTTCATCTATACATGACATAACAGGACGAAATTTTAACGATATAAAAAGGCTTGCCAAACGTTTGCCTTGCTTGCTGCTCGTTAAATATTTAGTTCAAGGGAAAAATCAAGTGGGGTGTAAACTAAAACTCAATATAGGATCTAACCAGCCCCTTTGGTTACTCAAATGTAAAATGGTAAGCCCTCTCTGATTTACTGGCTGCCCGCCCGCCCCAGAGATCTATGTATCAAACAGGGGCCTTCAAGTTTGTCGTTTCATAATTTATGTAATCACAGGCTGCTAAATGATCTAGGTGGCTAACGGCCAACGCGTACGTTCAACGATCTGCCTAACTAAACCAGTGTACACATTAAAAATACTGAAATCGAAATCACTACTACGTTGAAAGCAACACCCAGTGGGTGACTTAAGCTAATATATTAGGTTGAACTAGAAGTTAGTTGGTCTAAAGTGTTAGATAATAAAACCCTATCGTTCTACCGAACTCACGGCAAAATAACATAATTATTTTTCATAAGCTTCACGAATCTATTAATTGAGCATGTACCTGGACATGAATTGTACAAATTTTTGTTGCTACACCGACTTTTTATTTTTTTTTAAATTTTTTTATTAACTATTTGCATAGTTTATGATAGTGGTACAATTTCTGTTCCATATATTTAGGTCTAAATAGAACCGATAGGTATCTACGTGCTTCCGTTAGAAAACAATGGTGCACAGCATTTGTATCAGGCCGCGAGAACGTAGCAGTCAGCTGACAACGTTAAGTGCCTACCAAAGGCGCGATAGTTCAATTATGCAAAAACATAAATTTTTTTATTTATTCAGTCGTTTAGATATTACATCGGTGCATTGTAATATGGGCGTAAAAGAAGGACATTAAACTGCTACTAGCGTGAACGTCACTGAAGAATGATAGTAGGTGGCGGTAGCAGCAAATATGCCAAAAGTCAGTCAAACAGCAGAAGTGAAGATAACAGGAATACGGAACAGCGACTTAACACGAGTGTCTCAAATAAATTGCTTGTTTCTGCTCTGATAGGTACGACACAGTGGTCTCGAGCAACTACGGCCTAACTAAGATACCCTTTTAAATAGGTTCGAGACGACTGGCTTGTAGAGCGCCTGTTGGACGCACGCGTAAACCCAAAACAGACGTGAATTCATTTCGGGCTAATTCACACTACATCTATGTTGTTAGTACTAGCGTAAAGCCTTTCGTAGATTGTCCTAAGTCTAATTAACCGCATTCACCTATAGGCCACATTGTCCACCTGAGACTGTAAGGAAACCTCCGGCCAGTTCTATTCGGTAGGGCATTCTCGATTCTTCAGTTAAATCGTCTGTTCGGCATCGCCGAAGCATTCTATGGGTCCTCTATACATTTTAGGTTGCTTGAAACCTGAAACGAAAGATAATCTCGTGTGTACAACACTAGGGGTTTTCCATTCTTCTCGTGTCCTCAATCGTCACTTTCGTATAGTTGCTATTTTCTTATTACAGTTCAGCATTATATTTTACTATTATTAATAATCGTAGTAGTATTATATTAGTATTTGTTCTCTTCTGCAATAATAATGTTATTGGGTTACTATCTTACCTCAAAGGATGCTTCAGTACACTTCCGCAGTTCGTCCACCGTCAGCCCGCGGGCAATTTCAATTAAGGTGAGGCCTTTCGTTTTGCAGACGTCAAACACCGCCTAAAAATAGTACGATTCAATAACAAGTCGAATCTAGAAGACTTTTTTCTTCTATATATAGATACGATTATCGACTTTTTTTTTCTCGCTGTATCCTTACAGTCTAATAGAACAGCTAAGACATCCGTGATCTATGAGACAGATTCTGATGCAAAATGACAGACAGAGCTGGCACACATTCTTTAATTATTGTCAACGACTAAATCAGCTGAAAGTTTAGCAATTTTCGGTAGCCTCCCTGTGCCTGTACGGGTTTGGCCTTATCAGCCACCATGGCTACTGCTTTCGCTGGCAAGGATAATGAAAAATTAGGGAAAATTAGAGAAAAAGTTAGAAAAACAGTCCTTGTTAGGACCGTGGCCCTACGCTAGAACGCGTAGCGCTATGTGCTCATGCCTTTTGCTATAATAGCGAAGTTTGCTTTTTAACAGCTATCAATACTACCCACAACTGATCGGGCTGTTGCAGGTTTGTAGATGCATCGATAAAATCATAATGGCTATCACGTATGTTAGCGAAATATGGGATCGGTTATCGACGTGCTTACCACGCTAGAAATTACCAAGAGTATTTATCTGAGCTATTGTTGAAAGCAAAATACGGCCATCGCGATACCGTCTGAGCGTCGTCCATGTAAATGTGACAGGTACGTAATAATAGGACGAATGATACGAGAATCGTTTATCTTATATAAATACTTTTGAGTCGGATAACGTAGTTGTTAGATAGGACAAATCGTTAAGTTTGCCATCATTTTGTAATGTAGGTGGAGTCAACCCTCGGTTTGTTTAGGACATGAACTTAAGCGCCAACATACGGTAAGCATATCCTAGATCTAACAATTGACCCGAAAGGGGTATGTTTCTAACTCCGTTGGATACTGCCGCGCCACTTGGTCCTTACTTACATCTGTAAACCTGAGCTATCTCCAGTAGCACGTTTGCGGTTGCAGAATTGTCAATCCTGCAACAACAAGACTGATTTTTCAGAGTCACGCCTGTCTTTATAAACGTATGGCGATCATACAATCTCTGTATCTATATAAAGGGCGAATAGGAAAATGTCAAGTGCGATGCCGCTGCATCTGACCGAGTCGCCTGATTCAGTCCCGCAGCATCCTGAGGCTCTTAAAAATCCCCATACGTTCTGACCCGATCGGCATCACAGTACCTAGCAGGGAAAGCAACCTTCCCTTACAAGAATATTTACTGTTTTGGTATAATATATTATTAATATACAGCTATAATTAGCCGTAGAGCCCTGTTTATTCTGCGCCCCACTACAATTCAATGTACCTTAACACAAACTGTGGCTATGGAACTGTATGCAAATATAGTACAATCAGCGCCGTTTAGTGGGCTTGTTTCATCTGTTAGATCAGCGTCTACGCCTTTACAAGCTCCCTTAAAACCTAATCAACCAGCCTATTGCATAAACAAATTTCATTTCCGCTAATGTTATTGACGTCCGCGTCATCTTCATCATAAATCGTTTTCGAACAGCGTTATCATCGTCACAACTTGACAATAGAACATGTGTCGTCCGTATACCAGAAACCAGCTGCGTTAGATGCAGAACTTTGCATGTACCGAAATGCGCCACCTTTTTACCGTTCGAGCATATTATGCATCACGCTAGGCTCGTGCACGCACAAGGTCGAGCCTCTGGTCCCGCCATTGTCGCTTTAGTAAAATGCGTTAGTAAATGTGAGGGCTACATATGGCGCCATTGTGGGCTCAAGTGGGACTATGGGGCGAGCGACTGAACGGCCAGGCCCCAATCCTGCTTTGGAGCCGAACCTCATAGGCAAAAATCATTCTCTGATCGTAGGTTAGCATCCTATAACGCAGTTAGCGACTGGTTTTTCCACCCGTTGTATGAGGGGTGTGGTCAGCATGGGCCTTCTGGGGGGGGGGGGGGGGGTAGGAGCTGACTCTGTGGAATCGAGGAAGTTACGCGATCGTACGTGCCACGCACCCCAATTTGGCATACATGACATGATCGCTACATAGAACGTGTGCTGCGTCAAGCATGAAAACTAGGCAGCATAAACCTAGGAATAATTTAGTGCTTTACTAAATACACCCTTTGAAGTGGGGTTTCGAGAGGATCGTTGTCTTGGTCTGCTGTAACAATACCAAAATGTGCTGCTATATATATATATATATATATATATATATATATAACTAGAATTGTCCGCAGAACATGTCCGTAACATTTGAATTGTCTTTGTCTTTTTTTTTTAATACAATACGTTCATCAACGTGTTAGATCTTTTGGGAAGGAGGTTGGAGAGGATTAGAAGTCTGATTCGAACCGTTCCCTATGCGATACGTGAGCTCACGACTAAAAGCAGATTTTAATACCTAATCGATGTACCATGCGTCAATGAAGAGCTTCTACGAATAAATGATACTTGAGGTGGGAAATAAACAACTGGGTGTTATACTGAAACAGCTCAAACCGCGCCAAGTTAACCAGTTAAATATACACGAACTAAAAATTAAGCTAAACTCTTGTATGTACTTGTGTAAAAAAATAAAGCCGCAGTAGTTCATGAATCTAAGAAGCCACGAAGTATACCGCTAAGCGTAGTAGGTGGGTCTGATATATTTTACAACGCTAATATGATTTAACAGAAATGATAGACTGATTATATTACGATGGCGGCCGGAAGTAGATACCTTTTTCATCCCTTATATAGCGTACAAGTTCTACCTTTTCAGTGATGATTCTATCAACGCATTTCTGGCCAGTTAAAGGCAGCGAACATTTGCGGACAACTTTGGCGTTCCCGTCCTTTGTGTTGTGTTCCATTGTAACAACGACGCGGGTTCCTGCCGAATTAGATGCTACCAGATCCATTGCACCGCCCATACCGGTTATCTTTTGCCCCTGAAAACGAGCAAGTTAAAAGTTACATGTAATAGGTAAGCGCATTACAAGATAAATTTTTGACTATGATTTCATTCTAATTTACGAATTGAGAAATCCATCTACTGTCAATTCCGGATTCGTACACTCGATTTAACTGGTACAACTTGACGCAATGAACAATCCTAATTGAGGTAGATATTATATAGTCCTTTGAACCCAAGTTATAATATGACGACCATTGCCCAAAATGTAAAAATATGAATACGACATGTCGCTGCACAACTAACATTGGGCACTTTAATATAAGATGAATTTCATAGAATGACTTATAAGTTTACTCATTAACTTTAGATAAATCTGCATTCTGATAATGCGATTGATATTGCAGGCCCAGACTGGGCCTGCAATAGCTTAAAGTAAATGGCATCATTGACAAGAGGTAAGAGGATCATTTACAATTTAGGCATAAAACATAATCCACGAGACCTCTTCATAGCACATTGAGTCGAAGATGAGCAAATTTTTTAGAATACCACACATTATTTTCTTGAAATCAACGCCCTTCTCTGATGGTATCACAATTGCTCGACGAGGGCACCGTGTCATTGTTCAGCAGATGACGCAGTGTGAGTCTTTGATGCAGGGACAAAGACGAAGGGTAAGAGAGCCGAGGAGCGCTACGAAGGCCATGTGATACTAATGTCCAATAACAAAATAAGTACAACATATAAGGGCGGAACCAACTAGAGGCGGTCTATTTTCTAATTTATCTTGGAATTTCGTTTACAAGTTACCTCAGTACCGCTTGCGGTGCAAACCGTTTCTTATATAGAAGGGTCAACGTGGTGGTTTGGCTGGTTAACCCAGTGGTTGAATAGGCCAGCGGCACTGATTTAAGTCCTGCCAGTAACACGTACTGCACGAGAAAGCAATTAAAAATATACTACAGAATCACAATTCTGAAGTAGAAGAGGGTAGTTCAAATGACATTTTCCTTAATAATAATAAAAAGAAGGGATCGTATTCGCTAGTTAGTTCCATAGCTAAACTTGGTATTGTCGTTACTCGAATGAAGAAGGAATGACTCCATATTTGTCCCGTTTGAAGTCGTAATGTGTTATCGACACTTTCCGAACTTGCTTAGTGAATTTACCTGACAAATTAACCTACTACGTTTTATGACTGCTTTTGAAAAATGCCCCGCTCACGACCGAGTCTACCATCGAGGTTCATTGAATCTATCCGAAAGTATGAGCTCGATAGTAATGAAACTTGCAAAAAAAAATACACAAGACTCATCAGTATATTATCTTACCGGCACAATCCAGTTGGCGATATCTCCATTTTCTGACACTTGCATTCCCCCAAGCATCGTTAGATCAAGATGACCTCTGTAATAATAATAGAAATAATAACAATAATCAACAAAAACAGTCGCTATCCTTCGCGAAACAGTTTGTGCCTAAGTAATCAGCCTAAAAATACTGACAAAATGTCATGACAAAAACCTTCATGATATTGAGATATGAATTGACTAAAACTCTGCATGGGGTCAAATCAAAAGCCAGATTGCTATCGTGCATAATTGTTTAGATATTTTTCTGAATAAAAAGTAACAAAAAGGAAAACATTTTTTTACATTTCAATAAAATCACAAAAGGTAGGCTAAACTGAAAATAGAAATTTTACGACACCTAGTCACATAGGCTTCACCATGTTAGAGTTCTAAATCTGTTCGCTATAAGGCATCGCTATAAGCATAACTACACAATCCAATATCTGCTTACTATAGGTACGACGTGCAAACGATGAACAAAAGTAGATACTGATTGACGAATAGTAATTCTGACTGGTAGCAAGCACTTGGGGGGTCCTCATCGAGATCAAGCAGGTGATAAATTCCTGCTATTGGCTTTATAAGCCACTACCACAAATTGCATCTCACTAACGATTAATAATAATTGATCGAAAAGGTACTTGGCTGCACCAGATTTTTCCATACCCTCGTATAATGGCGAAGGATTCGTCAGAGCTGAGGTACGCGGCTCCGGGAATAGCAGTAACTGTCTCTTTCCCGGCATTTGTTAAATCCGGATCGACATCCTCACTCGTAGGATATGGACCCTTTAAACAATAGAATACTTTTTAGTTTCACTTCGGTATCTCTGTAGGAGTCTAGTAGACATTTTGCTAGATTTCTATTAATTTGATGGATAGCATTTTCGAGCGGCGCGTCCCCCAGTACGCGCGTAGAGCTCTGCTCTGCTAAAATTCATTTTTAATTGGATTTAGTGGAAAAACAGAAATTCATTCAATAATTTGTAAACTAGCTGTGACCTTTTAAAATATTAGCGTGACCAAAATTGACTCCTCCCCCTGGGAATCTTATAGATTATCACGGTGCTTGCGTCCGCCCCACAGACATCCATCTCCCGGTCGCATATATCCCTCTAAACTGGTCATTTAAAATTCGGAGGGTCAAGCAGGATTTACGTCAATTGACTAAATAATATAATGTGTTTATGACCTTCTTAGGAATGCTGAGGCAGTTTTATTAGGCTTGGCTTAACAACACAGGTAGTGTAGTAAACAAACAGTAAAAATAAACAAAAACTTGTTTGCCGACTTCCCTTTCTTCAGTGTCTATTATCACAGTTGCAATAATTAGATCTAGTTAGGAATGTGCATTGGCCTGAGACCTTTAGTCTGGGCTCTTTTAAAAAGCTTCTGCTCCTGTTTTTGATTTTATCTAGTAATTAAATTGTAACACCATAATGTGCATACCAGGCCCATGATTCCATTTTCGCCGTGCAGGCAAATATTAACACCTTTCGGCGAGTGATTGGCTGCGAGAACTGGTATTCCAATGCCAAGATTTACAAACATGCCATCCTTCAACTCTTTAGCGGCACGAAGTATGATGCGTTCCCGAGCGGAGGGTTTGGTCGTAGGCCCACCCGTTACATCGGATGCCGTCTTCGACACTCTCAATTTCTGGACAAAAAATTCAATCATTTCAAACTTAGTTATATATTTACTGATTATTTTGCACCAGACTGATGTATGAAGCATTTGCGAAATTATCTAGATGAGCTTAACTGTAGAACATTTTAAAATGCCAAACTGTTCCTGTGGAGAGTAGATAATCACGAATAAGATCTATAAGCCAGATCGATAGGAAGCACCTAAGACGTGTTTCTGTTAGTGGTAGTATGATGATTACTGTGACAGGAAAAAAAAAATCAGGAAAGAAGCTTGCTGGCTTAATATGTTCATACTAAAAATTCTGTATTCTGATAGAGAAAAACTAAAGGGACAACAGCACCGTTACCGTTCAGGAGACCAACAAACGAGTGTAAAGAAAAAAATATATATATCAAGGTTTTTACAACAGATTTGCATGTAGTCGACGTATTCTTTTATAAACGAATATTGCAATGTAGCAATAGTTTGTTTCTCAAAGTTACGCACATAGAAGATACGCGTGTGTATATATATATATATATATATATATAATTTAAATTATCATCGATAGCAACAGTCAGAGCCCGTGAAAATTGGAAGTGACAACAATAAAAATTTTACATTTTGTCGTTACTATCAACTCCAACAATTCAGTGTGCTCTTTGTGTGCTTTACAAGTATGTTTTTGAGAAACATATACGTCTATCGTGCGTAAATCAGTACTACTTCATACATTTTACATTGCAGAAAAAAATGCGTTTGTTATTACAGAAGGGTCATGGCTTCACACTTAGTGACTCGTAGCTAAATGTTTTAATCGTTATACATAAAAATTTATTAACTATAGCACGCCCTCTTAATGTAACACTATATAAATAATACAATGTAATTGGTGGCGCAAGGAGAACTAAAGAACAAAAAGCACGAACAAGTCGTCCGTATCGTGCCTGTTCCAAGAAGATTAAGTTAATCACGTATTAACTTTTTACTGCAAAATGACAATAGTTTTTTTTTCTACCTAAACACGTATTTCAGGCCCGGCGCCCTTTATGAGAAGATGCCTGGGGTCTAGATACCTCGATCTGCCGTTTGAATTGCTGTGCCTTGAATATGCGATTAACGTAGATCGATGGAAGGTGAATGTGTTCCCCTTCAAGAATTCCTGCCTCGACGATTTCTTCTACCTAGAAGATAGCAAAAGAAGCACTTCAGTGAATTCTATATAAAAGAAAATTTTTGAGATACATATGGGGCTATAAATCGCTTCTTCTTTCGTTAGACGCCCAGATTTCAATACCGGGTTATAATTAGTAAGTGTACGTACTTCGACGACAACGTTTTTTGCGGCCTTAGCAATGACTTCATTGTAGTTGTTTGCAGTTCTGCGGAACGTCACATTCCCTTTCGTATCCGCTTGGTAGGCACGAACGAGGGCAAAATCCGCGTGGATCGCTGTCTCCAACACATAACCTCGCCCGTTAAAATCGCGAGTCTGTACGTTGTCAACGAAACCCAGAAAACGTTCAGAGTACCACCATAGAAAACAAACGTTTTTTTTCTTTAGGCTTATCAAAGAAAGTGTATAAACACATTTGGATAACTTTAAAAGATTTGACTTCTCGGCCTAACTTTGCGGTAGCCGGCACTAAGTTTAATATTGAGCACATAGAACAACACAGTTTAATGAACAAACGGGCGTCTGCAAAAAGAACTATCATAGAGTCCCGTTAGACAGCCGACAATCTCGCACCTCTTTTGGTTGGCTCCTCATTGTGATAGTTTTGCCTGCGTCCTTGTACTTCATCGGCATGCCACCCTCATGGACCATTGTCTTGTATCCCGTTGGTGTATAGAAGGCCGGGATACCCGCTCCTGCAGCTCGGATCCTTTCAGCTAATGTTCCCTAGAAAATAAATTGATAACACGCAAAAATTTATCGCCTATGTACTGCACGTTTAAATACACACACATAAGGTCTGCACGTGTGTGTTAAATTCGGTGCTTGATTTTCTATCACCCGTTTGTTCGCAAGTGAAAAAATCAGACATCAACATTGCAACTGCATTTACCTGAGGAACTAGCTCGACTTCGAGCTGTCCATTGAGGAATTTGTCGAAGATGACCTTATTTTCGCCAATGTATGAGGAGATGAGCCTTTTAACTAGTCCTGCCTTGATCAGTAGGCCGACGCCGGCATCTTCCATCCCTCCTGTGCATGACACCACGGTAAGGTCGCGTAACCGCGTAGAGGCCAAATGTTTAAGTAGGTTTTCAGGAATACCGCAAATCCCGAATCCTGCATCACCCATTTACATCGAATATTTTCATGAGAAGGTCAGAGATAGCCCCTGTGTCCACTAGCTCTCAGAAAGGATGCTATCGCGCGTGACTCCACTAAATGGCATCAAAATATAAGCAGAACTGCTGTTTTTATTCAAAGGGTTGAAAGGCAGGTATCAAATGAGGTTAAGTCGACAATCGGATAAGGCAGATAGATCAGTTCTCACTTCTTTGCTCTTGATTAGCCCCTTTCAGTTAGCTGATATCACGGCGGTAGCAAAAAACGGAACCGAAAATTTTGCCGTACGTATTCGGAGCTACTGTCTTTTTCACAGAAGGATAGCTGACTTCAAGCTTCAGATATCGCTGAGGATCTTGGCTTGTATCCAATCTGTTTACCCATGAAACGCCAATGAATACGTACGAACGAAGGGGCAGCGGTGAAGTGTACAGGAAGCATACAGGTAGAGCTCTTTAGCGTAATATTAGAGCCACTAACAGCGTTAGAAACAGATGCTGTGAGAGTACTATGAAGATGAAACGAAGTCGTTACTACGCCAATGGGTGTCCCAGAGATATAGCAGCGGATATTAGACACAGCCCAATATAACAACTTGAAACAGCTTCCGTGCGAGTGCTGCGGCTTGGTCATTATATGAGTTAAACGAGCTACAGTTTCGTTTATTACATGCTATAGACATCTATTAAAGGCGTGCTAAATAGCTAGAGTCATTTAGATGATTGATAACCGCAGAGTTTTGTGCTACGAAATACAATACACTAAACACCGAAGCTAGAGGCCATTTTATCTCATGTGTTCCACCGATGCATTTTCCTTGAAGAAAGGTAAAAGAGCAACTAGTATTTCAGCTTGTTGTTAACGGCATTGAATTGGTAAAGTTTCGTAAAATCATATAAACGTAAAGCTGAAAGATGATTATTTAGGGTAGGGCTTTGTTTGTGAACGATTTGTGTTAAGAGTATTCAGTCGTCATGTTGACATAAAGGTGGTACGTGGGTACACGCACGTGTACTTTAGAAGACGCCTTTTCCAACAAACACAGATGGAACGTGTTTTCGAAATAAACATAATAAGCAGATGTCAACATGAAACATGTCATACATGAAATATGCGCATTCTCATGAATTGATTAACTCATCCAAACCCTGCGAGGGGATCAATGATTCCATGTTTACAATTAGATCAAAAAGAAAGCAACCAAGGAGATAGGATATAGACGTAAGTAGAACTTAAGGACCAGCCAGTGTCACCATGTGCGAACAGTGGTTGGATTCGAATAGAAGTTTTCAATTTTTTTTAAGCTAAAAAAATGACTTTGAGATCAATTAGATGTCTAAAGTCTAGAGTTGTTAAATCTAAGGGAGTAACGGTAATGTACTCAAATCCTAACCCAAAATTTTATCACCTGAGTCGCAGAAATTCCACAATTAGAGGCAGCATATGATTAGGACAAAAACGCTGTAGCCAACGTATATAGCGATTGTATAGTGTACAGTACGTGTCTTGTACATTTGAGTGAGCAACAGAATTGGCCAGATGACGCAATCATTCGATTTTGCGGGGAATATCAAATTCAAGTCGCCTTCTTTGGAGACATCAGAATCGCAATACTACGACAGAGGATGATGTGTTTTCGCCAGTAAAACACTGTCGAGCTTTGGTGTTTTACGGCGATACAGAATCGTTACCTCCAACCATGACCGTGTCCCCATCTTTGATGCCAGCAAGGGCTTCCTGTGCACTCAGATAGATGCCCACACGTTTCGACGGGTCAGGTGCTGTACTTAACTGTAACAAAAAGAGTGATAAGTAGCTTTTCTGAGAGCAAGTGATATCGATGAGATAAGTATTGCCTTGATTTGTAGCCGTTTATTGAACACCAACTGAGCTAGTAGAAAATAAGGAAGCGCGAATGACAAACCAATCGTAAGAGGTTCATAGACTGTATATATGATTACAAACTGTGCGCTGTTAGAACCCTTTGTCCTCGCTTGTCCGGTGCTACTATTTTGTGTAATCGTTATAAAATTTAAAAACAAAATATTTTTTTTATTCATACTAATTTCAACAGGTAATCACGTCGACCATAAGCTTTCAGTTGTATACTAAGAACAGATTCGCCATCAAGCAGAACTATTGATCTTATGCTACCCGAAAACGGCACTCATTTATAGAGATGTATGTAGTTTCGATGTCTAGGTTACGCTACACAACAAAATATCTAGGTAAACAATTGTGGGACGTTTTCTACTTTGTCATATTTTTCCCCGTTATTTATTTCGAAATAACTTATCATTTATTATTATTATTATACAATAGACAATTATAAATCTAGGATTAGCTTTTCCTATTGGCAATTTGCTAGAAGCCCATCTGGCGGTACCTTTTTCAAATTAGGAAAACTTTTTTGAAACAAGTCATTACCCTTAAAATGCCGCGTTGCGTTCGTAGATAACATTATAAAGCGAGCAACTCCGTAAAACTTTGCGCCATTTTATTTGTATTAAATATGAAATGACCCGCAATTTATTATGGCCCACTCGAACTATTTCTTTCCGATGTTCCCTGCACATTGTATGCACAGTCGAAAAATCATTTATCAGCTGCTTAGAAGGGAATTATTGAAGCACGGGAATTAAAGTTATGCGACAAGTGATGAGGCGACTTTAAGTTATTCAGTATATTAAATAAGGAACCATGTAGTTCATAAAGAAGGTTCAATATAAGCTATAGGCACGTAGATTTTGTCAGAGGGAGAGTCAAGATATGATGATTTTTTCCGTGTGCAAGCCTACACCAGACTCACTCCAGCTTATCGCGCTCAATATCTTCAAGGTTCAACGATTTAAAGAAGAGAGCTACACGCCAGCCCAGGTGGCCATAAAACGTTTACGCGATAAGTTCAGCAATTTTACGACACTTCAACTACGCTAAGGCTCGATACGTCGCTGGCGATTACAAGATAGCTTCTGGCTAAGTAACCCTTTCCTGTTTACTTACTACAAATACAACGCGCCATCATCGAAGGAGATGGTGCAGATAAATAGCACCCTTCCTCAGAGCAACATAGCGTAATTATCTCTCGTAATAGGATATTCAGAACAAACAGAATGCTAGCCCTTGTCTCAGTTAAGAACTTTGCAGTTTCCAATTAAAAGAACTTGTTCATTGGCAAAACGTACCCGACGCGCTAACGTGAGCCTGGATCCAAGTGTCCTATTCAACAGTCCGAATGCTTTCCCACAAATTGGCCTCATTTCTTAGCCTTATTTCTGTGTTCAAAATACACTTTTCTGTCCCAATCGTAGACCAATTAGCTGATTTCAAAGTTAGTTTCCATTACGTCTGAAATATTCACCACCATCAGCACAGTCACAAAGCCGCAAAATACTCTGTAGACGACTGGCCGCTTGTTATCACACTACCACTACTACTACTGTGGACCGTTTGTGGCGTATGAATCAGTCCAGGTACAGAGTAGCCATAGAAGCATTACAGAACGTAAGGCGACGTTATCCAATTAGCGTTGAAAGAAACGCCTGTAAATCTTTCTTCTATCGACACAGCTGGTGAGTACGTTCCATCCAACACACTCGATGTCTTCATTTGTGTATCCCAATCCCAGTAACAGTTAAATTTCCAGAAGTCGACGGACGTACAAACAAGTACCCGTTTACGTGCTACCGCTGGCTGCTTTTGTCTTTTATCACCTGGGTGTTTATCCGCGTGTTCGCGGCCACAGGCACAGCATTGCGCCGGCCCTAATATCTAGCCAAGGTTATCACTTGTCAGCTGTCATCGCACAGATATCTAACGCGATCTCCGGAATCCCAGTTATCACAGCATAAATTTGTCTCTCAATTAATTTATAGACAGTACCCGCGAAACCGCTTGGTTTCCCCCTGATGGCGGCCTTTTACAACGAGACTGCCCTTCACACAACCATACCGAATTAGTAAGAAGACGTTCGATTTGAACAATTTATGCTGATTCGTTGATGTGACGTTTCGACCGCCAATGGGCCAAAATTTTGGACGTTTGACGCCAGCTACCGTGCTCAGGTTTGCACCTACTTGGACACTGGGCCTGATCGCATAGCGATGACTTCGTACTGTTTCTGTAGTGCCAGATAAAGCAATCAGTATCAGGAGCGTTCCCAAGCTAGGTGACTGGAAAAATCTGGAACCTGTTTTTATTAACTATATCGTTTGCCGGCTCTATTGTGATTTTTAGTACCCTTTGCCTTTATCTGCACGCTTAAATTTCCCGTCAATCTCAGGTTGTTTTCTTCCCAAACTACAAAATCCATACTAATCAAAGTCAGAACGGAAACGTGGTGAAAAAAGATTTTTTTTAATGTGTTACTATTGTAACATGTTAAAAATTATGTATATTAAAAACATTTGTTTGTTCGTTTATTTTTTTCCCATCCAGTGAAGGAACTGATAGAAAAATAGAAAAAAAAAAAACGCACAACAGCATTTACGTTGAAATAGAACTAGCTTTAAGATTTAGATATTTCAGGGTTTGTTTGACATATGCATACGAACAAATGCTTCCGAATGAAACGCAGGTATCTCCTCCAGTAAAGCTTTATTTTTCTGTGTAATTCTTAAATCTATGAAATCACTGAAATAAGACGTCTTCTGCTAACGTCAAAATCAAGTTCTCAGGATCGACATATAAATAATACGTATGAAACTTACGTGCAACCATCAACAAGATTTTCGAAAATGAATAACTATATTACGTTCAAGTAAATTACGCATTTGGCCATAACGTGCCCAATGAGAACGAATGATTTTTCTTCTCCTTTGAAGACTCGAGTGAAGATACGCGCGTCATTTTACTGAGAGTAAATCCCATGAGGGCACATTTCGAGTTGACAACTTTTCAATGATAATTTTGCTGCAAACGGTGTCACAGTCTTGAATGCCGTGGGCCTGCGTGACTTCCTCAGTACTTCGTGGCACAGAAGGCTAAAGAATATAGAACAAGCCAATTCCATCGAAGCCTACGTGCATTCATGTCATGCGATCAACTAATAATAATACAGTACGCAAAAGCGAACTAGATCCTCCATAGAATTTCATGGGACAGAAAGACAAAAATTTTCTGTTTCAATACCACCGACAACGGCGCGATGGATTGAAAGATTTTCTTAATTCTAACATAAACAAAGGCAAGCTAATGTGACGAGTACTCGGAACAGCTACTTGTACTTCACATTCCCGTAACCGGGGCTATTGTAAGTAAACGACTATGGGTTAACTTAGGGTGGCAAGTTTTTGCCAAGGTATGAAGAACATTCCAGTTTTCTTGCTGTAAACTCAGCGTCGGACCACTACCTGGAGCGAAGCGAAAGGTTAGATTTTTTTTGCAATTATTTTTTTTTAATTTAAACTTAAATTATAGCTGGTTTAACTAGATTGAATGTCTACAGGGCAAAGCTACCGCTTCGAGCTACGAAGGGAGTGGCTTTATGAATATGGATCTACAGAAAATTTTCTGGTGCTCAGCTATACCTCATTAAGCGTCTTATTATTCGCCATCGTTAGTAAAGTTTCTGCTTTTTTCTGTATACGAACAAATATCATTTGGCGAAATGGTCAAATTTAGTCTGGCTGAATAAACTTAATCACTCGTAAGCGTGTTTTGTTAATTCTTGCAAACGATGGGGGTTGCTTTTTTTGTGAAGTCGATGCCAAGCGAACTACCAATAGACTTCGACTCAGATTCCAATATATCGTCACATGATCCTGCAATTCCGTCAGCGCACAATGACCTTAGTGATAATTAATAGGCGTTCTATATTAAACGTTATTGTCGATATCTCTTTTGCTCAAAGTAAGAGAAAAAAGAAAACATAATTAGTCCAACATGTTAACTGTACTACTTTTTCCCTTCTGTTACCTGTTGTCCTAAAGTTGGCTTGTCTATCGCCGTACAAATGGGCATGTAGAGATTATGCTAACTATTGCATTGAATGACAACTCAAATAGACATCATCCCAGCTCACACGGAACAAAAGTCGTACGAATGATAAACAACGTATCTGTCGGTTGGCTGTATCGGAGCAGCCAACTACCGGTTTGCACAGTTATTCATTGTCAGGAGCAGTGTTTCCACCGACAGGGAGCGTGCGGAAACTGTTTGTCCAGTATAGCAATAGCAAATCACAGAAGGCGGGCTTATCTTTTGTCATCCGCCTGTTTTGCCCAGCCACTTCTCCAGGGTGGGATACGTCATCTGTTCCGGTCTTCTTTTGATCCAGTTGTAAACAGAAAAAGGCCGAAAACAATCGTCGGTGCAGTTGGCGCCATCACTTACCGCCTCAACCGACAGAAATACGCGAAATCAAAAGGCAGACTTCAGCTTCACACACATGCCAAGTAACCGAGATGCAAACATTATATACATACGAAAAAAAAAAAAAAAAACAACTTCGTGGTAACAGCAGTCGCATGACGGCGGTCACATCGCTTGTGATTATGGCTACTTTGCAACGTTGCAAGTTGAAGTTACTGTTTCTGACGAATTAGTTGAGTCGGCGACAGGACGCGCTTTGTCCGCAAGGAAGAATGTATTATGTGTATTTAAGTAAAGAGAGGTAGTTTCGCCGCTTACGAAGGGGTGCAGCGATGTCCCACGACGTAATACTGACAGGAGCTGTGATGTTCCTAGCACCTGCGATAACAGGTTGGAGTACCTAGTAGTCGCGAATACTTATGATTTTTTAGGGTTATCCTAACTATGTTCACCAGTTGGTGGTACGGCTATTATCTCATTGGCGTACTCCAAAACGTTATTTTTTCATAATATTTCGCTATAGAGGGCGCGGTGGCGGTTGTAGTAGTAATCTACGGCTGAAAAGTTGGCATTCAGTTATACAAAAACCTGATGGCCAGATTGCATATGATGCTGCGAACACAACTGGCTAGCTGCGCGGTATTGAATTAACACACTTCACACCGCTATGGAGATGTCAACGTCCACCCTTCGTAACAGGAGAGAGGAATCAGCCTTTTCATAAGATACATACCTCATTAAGCGTCGTCTTGTCACTACGAAGTTCATCCCCACTGGCGTCATCGCAACCATCTTTACGTCGGCATATTTTCTTCGTAATACATCGACGACGTTAAACCACGGTATACGAAGACGTGCCATTATGCAATATCGCATGTAACCTTACCAAAATATTCAATGCAATCTATATAAATATTGTTGGGAAGATTCGTCATTCTAGATACTTTTTTCCCAGCTTTCCTGCTATCGTCTCTTCCATTCATCGATAGGGGAAGTGGCACAACCGCTATGTTCATATATTTGCTGTGTCTTGTATGTCTGGCCTCAGGCCAGGTAAGAGCACGCTACGATTGGCGTCTGAGTAAACAGTGCATCCCGACCAATGGCGCTCTACAGGACTTCAAGATTCGCAACGTGACGGAGGAAAGCGACCTCGACCTCCATGTATTAACTGCTGGTAAACTCACGCTTGTGGTGAACGTGGCCACGTACTGCGAGTATACAACGCAGTACCTCGAACTCAACGAGCTACAAAGCAAATACGGTCCCAGTGGATTTCAAATCATAGGATTTCCGTGTAATCAGTTCAACAAAGAGGAGCCAGGCTATAAAGGCGAGATTCTCAATGGCGTTATGCACGTCCGCCCAGGTAGAGGCTATGTACCGAACTTTCCGATTGCGCGGAAAATCGACGTAAACGGCAAGGATCAGCACGCTATATATACCTTTCTCAAGGCCGCATGTCCTGTATCACCGCAATCTTTGTTTGCTAAACGGGAGCAGCTAAACTATGATCACGTTCATGTGAATGATATTCGGTGGAACTTTGAGAAATTTCTCGTTTCGCCATCAGGGGCGCCCCTGCGACGTTATCACTCGTCCATTAAACCGAGCCAGCTCGAGGGTGATATTGAACAGTTCCTTTTATTCAGCAACTTCAAGTAAGTTTTCTTTCCTGGACGAAACCTCTCGCGTCAAGGAATGCTCTGCCTCTTGTGAACGATTGGTGCCGTGGGGTCTGGAAGAGCGAAGATAACTCGGAATGACAGGCGGTGTTGGTGAGCACGACTTACTTCCTATAGTTTCTATTTTTGCTATCTGTTCGGGCGTAAGCGGATTGTTGGAGTTCATAGACTAATGGCTAGTCTTACAACGTGTGCTCTCAATTCATTGTTACTTCCTTAGCTAGCTTTAAAAAAAAAAGCTATTTTTTTTCCCAATCCTTAGTTTGTGCAAGTTTAATTAAAAAGTATTCTACCCAACGGAAAATCGGCTAAAGTCTAATCTTTGTGGATTTCTTGTTTTCTGTTCGTTTGTCTAACTGAAAAAGTGCGATCTGTACTAGTATTTTCTGAATATAAATAAGCATGGTAGATACTGGATAACCGTAATTGCGCTACGTAGCATTTATATGTAATATGGCATTTTGCTCAATATCATAGAATAGATTATATTTGAGTGTTATTTTGTTTGTCTGTTCATAGTGCTTATGAAAGTTACGGTACGATCCCTCTACAGGAATTAGTCACTGCTTCTTACGATACAAATAATTTTTTTACGTTGAATTATAAATTATCTCTATGAGACATTATGACAGCTTTTTCCTAGAACGCGTGCGCTAATCGTCTACGTACAATTTTCAGCGACTGGCCTTGGGATTCTCTCTACAGACCGACACACAGCCGATCTTATATCATTATTTCTATAATATAGTATAGCCTAGTAAAAAAATAACATGAATGTTACGACTATATTTATAGTGGATATTGATGAATCGTAAGTAATTTACATGTATGTCACGCTATACGCCATTACAAGGTACAACGAGAGAATAATATGGTTTATCGCTTGTCAAAAAGTGTTTGAGTCATTTTCCTGTATGTAAAAATCGTAGGTAAATTTAAAAAAAAAATACGAACGCGGCAATCCAAATAGGATGGACAGAAATACAGTAGAGAATGAAATCTCTTATCTGCGGCAATCGGTTTTGGCATTTTGTTCCCATCATCCTTCTTAGAGCAATAGTCAGAGACCGATATTGACACGATAATATCTCTAAGTCGAAAATATTTTAACAGGAGCCTATCGTTGTTCCTCACCCGACACAGCAGTGCGCTTCAATGAGTACGACATTGCGAAAACTATCGCTTTCCAATGAACACTTCATGTTCCTCAAAGAGATGGCGCTATAGTCTACATCGTTTTTTGTTGTATACCTAGACGTACCTTTAACGGTTCCAATGATGGCAGAGGAAAAACCTAATATATGGATTTAAGGCTTCTTAAAGGTGAGTTAGATATTTCTGAACGAAAAGTTTAGTAATAATACAGCATACTAAGTGCGGCCCGTTACGTGGAACTGTGAAGCTTTGCGATAAAATGTTGAAATGCTCTAATGCCCTCTGCCTACTCATGGAAGGCTTTATTGCGAAAGCGGGATCCTCACCAAACCACCCAGCCACTGACCAGCCATTCCAAATTGATGACGACCTGTAAGCTGGCCATGTTTAATAACGCATACATTTGCAGGGGCAGACCAGCCCCCAGAACGTTGTGCATAAATGTCTATATAGACGTAGTAGTATACTCGAACTCACGTGCGCTTCGGAGCATATATTCGTAGAGTTTTGTTTTATTATATCGAAACGGACTAAGGATACGCATGGTTTCCCATTATCTCTCAGCATCGCCCCAATATTGAACAGCTTACAGCCGCAGTGACTGAAACCCTCGTGGAACTGTTACCCGTGACGAGAAATGACCTTTTAACGTCTATCTAACACGATAAAAGTGCTTAAGCCAGAAAACAGAAAAAAATACATTTGATGTACCTAAACCGACCTTATATATCGAGAGAAGTGCTTGCAAAATACAACAGTATATCGCCCTATTATATCGAGTAAACGAAATTGTACGACAAGACAAAAACCGGTCTACGAAATTATTGGGCTTGAGCGTTGAGTGGTAGGCGCCTTTCTCCAGCAATTTCGTGTGCGCCTCGAGATGGTAAAATGCCGTTTTGTCCGACCATTGGTAAATACAATTCATGGCAGCTAATCTGTCAACAAACACGTTGTCAGGAACAACACAAATAGGTATTTTTATATCAGATCCAAAAATATCTATCAGGTAAGTGAAAGTTATAAAGAAGACTAATCTGTTGAATACAATGTATTTCAACAGCCGACGAAACGAGTATAATTTATGCACGCACTTAATACGTACTACCAAAATTTCACAGGATGTTTATTCGCTTCTGAACCTTGAACTTCAGTCATAACTAACATCCCCCGAAAATTCATACTGAGTATACCTTTAGTGAAGTCTAGCTTTCAGATACGCCATTTATATTACTGCATGGATGTTTAGTACAAATGTAAATGGCACATGATACGATTCCCACTGCGTCTTTATACGCATACAACAACTTTTCAGCCACGTTACGGCATATCGAAACCTTTGAACCTAAACGAAACAATTGTTACCCAGTAATTAGGTTAAACTTGAATTGGCTACTGAGTTCCGTATACATCAAACGAACATTTCATACGTATTCTCTATTACTAACTCCATTTACATTTTTCGTGTATACTAAGGATTCATGTTCCAGTTAGATACGATATTATAAACAAGTGTTTCCTTATTATTAGGTAATGATTAAAAATACACGTTTACTTACATTGTCGCACGCTATAGGTGATTATGTACATTTACGGCGCAATATGTAGTTGAGCACCCAGCTAATTGGGCGCCACAAAGTAACTATTGATCTGACCGGAGCAATTTGTATCGTCTACTTAGAGGCCACACTACTAGGTCGTTCGTATCTATTTGTTATTTATCAGACAAACGGAAACTGACCAGTCTGACCTTTGCTGAAGCTTGCTAGCCGAACTCAAGCACGTTTCTCGTCCTCGAAGCATAAAACCCAGGACAAAATTGTCTCAATGGATATATCGCACCTCGCCACAGTCATCGCTGCATATCGATGGCCTCATCTGATTTGCCGTCCCCACTTTCCCCTATTTCCAGCCTAGTGATATTTGTTGTCGTCTTGTTGACGGCTTAGCGTTCGGTTGATTCGTTCATTACCTAGCAAAGTAGCGAAATTGAATAACACAAAAGATATTCATTTTTCGATGCGTGTCCGGGAGCGCGTTGTGCTAAATGAGTATGTCCTCGTTCCTGTTGCTCTATGCTGTTCATCGTAAAAGTAAGTGCAGTATTTTTGGTGCAAAATTGAATAGTGCAGCCGCGCCATAAACACTCACATCGGCTTGCCTAGTCGAAGTCTATCGTGGTAATCAATGAAGCGTTAGCGTGGTGCCAGCATCTCACAGGACTATTGGACACGAGTCCCTTATCTAGATGATGATCAAAGGCAAGCCAACCCGGAGACGCTCAACCGCTATTAGTGGCGGAACAAATCATCGTGTGCTCTAATAGCGATTGTACCACCCATTCTTTTGTAGCCAGTCGGTGAATGACTATATGAATGATCAATTCATTGCCAAAAACAACTATGACCGGTACTTTGGAGCTGGAACTGTTTTTGTCGGGGTGGGGGCGGGAGGGGGCGCCAATGTCGCGGGCGAGTTACTCACAATTCAAATTACATTTTACTGTGACCCTCATTAGAAGTACGAGCGCAATTACCTGACGCTCGGCATCAGCAACAGCAGATGCGACGGGTATTGTGCGATGGTACGGCCGACGCCCATGGCAAAAACCGGTTGGATGAAACGTTAACCAGAAGCAATATTTTGCCTTTGTGCCACTGTAGTGAAGTGCCATATGGTTGCAGAGTGTTAGTTCGCTTATGTTGATCTGTGTTATAACATCGTCGATTATCATCAACGAAAAACATCATAAAAACGAGACCAATGGCAGCGACGTTACAGCCAATTAGAAAAGCCGGATAAAGCGCAGTAAACGAATATTGTTTTTTATCGATTCACAAATGAATAGATTTTGTCACGAGTTTCTATCTGTCCGTCTCACACATGGCTGTGGCGAAAGTACAAAATTTACAGTAATCGTGTACTGCTGATGAGGAGTGGTCGGACGATAATTATTAGGCAGCCATACTGTTTTGTTTTAGAGAGTAATGAAAACGTTTGCTTTTCTAAGTACTTTTCAGTGGCATAGTAGGATGCTTTGAAAGGTTTTGTTGCGTCTCGGGGTCTTGGTACTGCCATCAGCCTTGTCTCTTCCGTCAGTCGTTGGCTGACCCGAATTGACAGTGGGTACCGAAACCGAAGTGATAAACAAGACTGAGATCATTTAGACGTAAAAAGTCAATACACGAAGACGTAATTACCGATATCAACTTCTAGATTTTACTATCGTGAGAATTAATGTATCAAATGAGTCAAGAAACTCGCAAGCATCCTATGACTGAAAATTGCCAAATAGAACCAATTTAAAATTCAATTACACTCACTGTTAAGTCATTGACAGACGCCTGTGCTATTTGCTGCTGGGATACCGGGGGCATGTTTTGGGCTACCACGGTTCGAATCAGGTTAGCAATGTCTACGTAGAACTCGCTTGTTCCAAGCACGCCACAATATTGGATAAATGCTATGTTCTTCACTTTTATATATAGAAGTTTTAGCTCCTCTTAAAACCTTGACCACAGGCTCATTTTTTCCGGTACGAACTGTGGAAGGGTTGGTGTTGGCAAGGGAGTTATGAAAATTTCCGTTTTTTTTGGCTAATTCTATTATTAGACAATACGTGCGGTAACTCGCTTTATTAAATTTAGTTACATCTCTCAACTAGCTTGTGCTCTTTGCCCCGTTACTGCTATTCCGCGTTGGCACGCAGCTGAATGCAACCGCTCTTGAACTTTTACAGTAGAGATGACCTTTTCATAGAGCCCGACACAGCATTTCATGAATATCGTTTTCAGGTTTTTGGCGCCGTACGTCTAAGACACCATCTTCGGGTGTAAGGTGGAAGCGGACTCCGGACAGAGTACGGTTGTTTTGCTTACAATCTATGAGAACGAGTTACAATATCATATCTATTTTCTAGTCCATTGTAGTTGTGCAGTTCGCTACGACCTAGTTGCACCCTGTCGAATATTCGAGCCGCTGCTAACGGAAACGCCGTATCAACGGATCAATCAAGAGCAAAAATGTGCGCTTTGATTTAAGCCAATGACCCCCGACGAGAAACGTAATACGCAACGAGCTGAGGAATTGTATTAGAGCGTATGGAAAACACGGCATGATCCAGCCAGATGTTTCGAGTGTAAGTGGACACTGCGGTGGCACTTTGGCCCCATCTGGCAAACGAGCTTTATTTTACTGTTTGTCGATAAGGGCATTTCGATTGTGTTCGTAGAAATCAAAAACCTGTACTGGTCAATAACACAGAAAATCAACATATGGAAAATAATTTTTTTTTCCCGCCATCGCTTTGAAGGTAAATTTATGTGTTATTCTTATCTATTTATTTGAGTGGAACTGGAGGTGAAACTTATTTACTATAACAGTTCTATTATTTTCTATATAACTTCTATTAATAATAATTAATAACTTTCTATATAACTCAAGGTCGGTTAGTTGAACATTGTTCCATTTTTAGTGAATTCTGCTAATATTTGCCTGTAGAAGCGTATATCTGCTTATCCGTTTTTTGATTCGTTTATTCTTTTACAAAAACAGGATAGGAGCAGACAGACGGAAGGCTAACTGTTCATAGTCAACCCACAAACAGGTCGGGGGAGTGCAGAGTATTTGCCGCATAATTCTCCACTCTGCTCCTGGCCCATAATTGCCTATGGGCCAGGAATAGAGTGATGCCCTTCCAATGTGGTAAATAACAAATCAATATTCAAATTGAAATCGAACACAAAATACCGTCTTTTAAAACATCAAAACGAAGCGTATATGGTATACAGTCTTCCTTGATTACCTTTCGACATAATGTAGGTGAACGACATGAGTTTATATTAATTTTGTATACAGAGGCTTTTAGAAGATAAATCTGACAGATAATGGCCACACTGACTGAATTCATTTTTATAGCTAAATTGATTATTATCTATCTATCTAAATTACATGGATGAAACTCGTGAAGGTGATGAACGTCAGTAACTCAGGACAAGTTGTAGTACTCGCAACAGGCTTTTAATTTCGAATGTATTCAGAATATTGTAGCATACCAATACTTTTAACGTATAGTTTCACGGAAATAATCAGCTGCAATCGATACTCAGTGTCTTGGTGGATCAACTCCAATCTCCAATTGCCACTGAAAATGGCATTCAGACTGCCCCGTGTAGTGTTCTAGTGAAGATATTAGATAAACGAGAGTCGACGCACTGACTACTCTGTTCCATCCACACGCACGAGGTCAAATCGCTAAATATGTTTGTTATGTCTGCGAAAAAAAAAAGCTACAACAAATATGGTTATGCAAGAATTTCGATTTGAAACAAACGAGGTGCATACGTACAACCATGGATAAAACGCGGTGGAAGCTCTAGCGGTCTTATTTCTAATTCGAATAATGGGGAACTCTCCTAAACGACTGCACCCCATGACATTTGAAAACGGCGCCAGGACAAAGGATACTCTGTTGCTAAAAAGCGTCTTTATAATAATCCCCATAGTTGTCTCAATCAATGCCCGTACTATGCATTGGTGAGCCACAACTACTTTCACGTAAATGCAACGCAGAAAATCTCTCGTGATCTATATTAATTCTATTGCGAAATAACAAATAGCAAGCTGCGTTAGTTTGTTGAAAAGCAGTCTGCGCGAAATAATGCTTAATGGAGCCTAGAGGTCGTATAGACGTAGTAAATACATTTTTGACTTTTCCCAAGTACAGAATTAAGATAAAGGAAGGGGCTAACAAGTTACGTAAGGTTATTTAATATCATTATCTGTTTATTGCCGATTTATTTATGTTACCGTACCACCCCGATTATAAGTTAGTTATCAGTGAGTGGAAAATAATAATAGCCACAATTTTCCAACCTTTAATTTTGTTTGAGTTTGTCAAATTTGATAACCACCGACATTTTCTGTAGCATTTGAAATTCATTGTGATAATTATAATAGTCAGGATTCGCGTTAAAGCAATTCAGCTCACCGTTTGGAGTAACCAAGATTTGGCTAAATGATCTCCCATATTTGCGTATTTTCACGAGTGCTACTATTAGTAGTACTGCGTTGGAAGACGCCAAGGCCCCATATATTTTTAATACGAAAAACGATTCATATTTATTAAGCGCTCGGGTGGCCAACTATTAAAAGCCTATTGACATGACTGCTTGCTAACTATCAGACAGTTAGCGTTTAAACGTCATATTGTATTCTGTGGGATAAACGTGTGAGTAAAGTGCTGTGATTAAGGAGAATTCAAGCTCAACCCTAGTGTCAAGACTACAGACAGATTGGGAAACAACTCTAGCTTCGAAAGTTATATTCGAAAAATTATAACATTTCAAGAAACCGATTGCAAAACTACCAGACGGAATTCATTAGACGGAAAATTGATCATATTTTAGCGGGTAGTTCATAGCAGCTATAATATCGCTATAATAATAGCAGCTATAATATAGCTTGATATCGAAAGAAAAGCTAATTTATTTAAAAATCAAACCACGACCATCATTGTGGAAACAGGTTTAGAGCAGAAACGCAAATCCGTTCTGGTTCAATATCTCCGCGCTGGTCGCTCCGAGATAGCCTTTAGCTATTCGAAATCGACAGTTTAATACACTGCGCGGTTGCTGGTGAAATAGAAGCAGGTTCCCATTCATCAGAATAAGTAAAATACTGTAGGGAACATTTTGTAAGGCCCTTAAAGTAAATGTGCTTTTTTCCGACCATGCTGGTAATGGATGGTTTGGTAGGAACTTTGAAACGGTTAAAGTTGAAGGGGTAAGACAAGTAAACACTTGCACGTGCGTGCAATAAACACATAGGCAAAATAATGTAGATATTTACTTTTAAAAATAACGGTGGAGTACCTGCTTTAAGTCCCGCTAACAACACATACTGTACAAAATATGTGAACTTTACTAAATTATTTATACCTGCTTTTATATACATGCGGCTCACAAATAATTTATATTAATTTAACCCGAATACCCAGAAGTTTCAACTGTATTTCTTTCTATTTTTCACAGACTATGTCAAATAAGCAGCAAAAAGCTCAGTGGCGATAGGAGCAACTTCAAAGAGTCCATAAATAAGTTCCACGCCACTTTTACAGATGATATGCGCTTTATTTGAGATTAACGCAAAACAATCCAGATGACCCTGCAAGCCCTACCTCCGCTTGCTTTAAATAATTATAAAATTCCAAGTTATGACCTTGGGGGTGGGGGTGGGGGGAAAATGGAAAAATGGGGTGGGAGGAAATAAGACCAATGATGCTTTAGCGTGAAAAGTAATTTAAGACTAAAGTTTATCTAGGAATCCGCTTGGTGCTGTTTCACGGCATTACCGGACAACTCGTTTAACCTGCCGTGTATCATATATGGTACAGACCAACAGCAATAAATATAACTCGGAATGGCACCAGGCGATTTCTTCGGAATGAACGTAGTATCTAGAAGTTTTTACAACGTATGTAAGTTCAAGTTCTGCCTTTCGAATGCACTTCGTTTGAAAATTTACGGATCGATTGTTCTGAGGGTTCAAATACACCACGGTTCTGCCTGTAGTCATGTTTCTAGCTGAAGTAGCAACCCATTATAAAATCGCTGCGATTTTGCAGACTGAAGAACGTCTTCAAATTTTTTAACATTCCACAAAATAAATTTCAAAACATTTAACTTGAACACAAAATAAGATTTACTTTTTATACAAATCGCCTCTTCTTCTATAAAGCACTTAAGATAGTATGATTATACTTATTTTTACAAGGCATTAATTTGAGCGACTCAAATTGAATTGAGACTTTCATACATAATAGTTTTGTTCAGGATTATGGTCAGTGTTGCTCATGCAGCGATCTAAATATGGTTTTTTTTTCCACAAACGATAACTTGAATAATGTTGAATTTTAGTAATTCTCCGTAGTTCCATAGGTGTACTATTGATAAATACAAAGCAAATCAAATACAGATCTTTGAAACTGTTCATTTTTATTGATGCAATCCCTTGTAAGTAACAAAAGGATATTCTCGTCATTACATACAGGTAATCATTGAGGTGCCCATTTATCTACTTATTTCAGATGCACACTCCAGCTGAAGCTTATTTGTCGTTCTCTGGAGTTCAGTTCTATCTATTTCTAAAGCAAGTATTTTTGTAAAATGTATTCATGGATACCTACCATCCGATACGAGGTACAACGCTAAGGCAATGCGAGTACTTTTTGAAATGCACTATAACAGCAAAACTTGGTCGCACACGTTGACAGAGAACCGCGTGCTGTTCTGCTTAGTTTACTTATTACTTTACGCACGACAAAACATTATGGCGCATACAATTTTATATTTATATATTTCTGTTAACAAACACCGTTTCTGAACTGTTTAACAGCGATATTAAGAGCAATTTATTATAGTGTCTTTTTTTGCTTGTTGGTTGAAGGTGATACACTCCTATACGGTTAGGCACTAAAAACTCAAAAAATTGTGGAGTAGTTAGTAAACATAACTTAGCTGGGCTATCATACACGGGGCCGCGGAACAAGCAATGCGGCCCTTTTTTGCATTGTTAACGTGGTGATCGTAAGGCAAGTTCACTCGTTTCGCATATTTATAGAACCTTTGTAGCTAAGAGGTACATTCAGGACAAAAAGGGCTTTTCGGAAACTAGATGCTGCCATCGGGTTTTCACATATAGCTGTAGACTTATATCGGTTCAATAGCTCAACTTCCGACAGAGGTTCGAATGACAAATGCTGCATTATGTGATGAAATGAAGCTTAAGAAGTTCGCATCTGTTTATATTACATTCGTCGAATATTATAACTTCAGTCATACACCCATGCGTAGTTTTTACGAACAGACCATTTCTGCTAAATGTTACGTACAAACGAACAGCCACGACATTAACAAATTTTTTCTATATTTGTGTATCCCTGAGCAAAAGCATTTTTCGATTCGCTCATAAACTAGACCTAGCCCATTACGCTAGCACGTAGTCAACATCATTCATCAAAAACTGACAGGTTTTGCTTACTCTCAATAAATATATATGTGCAACCTATACGTCCATGATAACGACTACCTAACTTGAGCCATTTAAGTACTTGGATGTAGTTTTTATCCGCGACATCTGCTGTTTATGCGCAGCTTGGCCTCCTTAAATCCTCCATAACGCGTCATATAACTGTTGGTTGTAAATCATAATAATATTGTTTAGTCAGTCTTCAATCCTCTTTTATTATCGTTCAACACTGAAGCGTATAAAAAGATTATGCTGCCTACTAGTGCCAGAGCCGCAGACACGAGCGTCGGCAGCTCCATATGCACATTCTGCAAAATACCACCTAGGATTGGTGTAACTCCACGTGATACAGAACTCACGCTTTGTAAGGCACCATGTAAAGTTCCAATACCACTCGCTGCGCCGCGACTTAGCACGGCGTCAACGCCAAATGCTCGTGCCAGACTTGAGAATAGTTGAAACGCTATTAGCAGCACCACGATGTGAATCAAATTGGTGGACACGTAGAGAAGGACAAAGCTAACCGATAGAATCGAACTACAAATGACGAGGATGTAGCAACTGTCCCTGTTGAATCGTGTAAATATTGGACCTACCAGAAAGCCTGATGCTGCGGCAACGAGCCCCATCAAAGAGGTGATATAGCCAATTTCCTTTGTCGACAGTGAGTACATCAGCATCAACATATAGCTGAGATTGCTTTTATATAGGCCGACGGCGGTAGCTAATACAAGGCGACCACTAAATAGGTCCCAATATTGCGGCCAGTCAATGCTTCTAAAAAGAGCTACAATTGACTCATGTTTCCGTTTCATGTCGCTCTTCTCGACGACGTGAACTGAATTTGGCAACAGCAAATGTGCGCTTAGTGCAGCAGTAATAAAAATTAGGCCAGCAATAGCACATCCGTTTTCGAAGCTGCGTATATGCGCTCCGATTAATGGGCCTACGATGAAACCTGCACTCGATATAGCATGAAAATATCCTAGAATCCTTGTGTGCTCATCTCTCGGAGTCATATCACATAAATACGCTTTAAGCATCGTTTGGGTATGTTTAACTAAGCCAAGGGCTGCACGAGCTATAAAAAATAAAAGAATGCTTTCGACAAGGCTCAACCACAAATAGACAATACCAGACAGGTAGAACGCTAAGAGAGTGCATTTTCGACGACCATATACGTCGCTGTAACCTCCGAAAGTGGGTCCACTTATAGTCTGAAGGCTACCATACGTTGTTCCCGCCAGTCCATACACAAACGGTGAATAGCCTTTATTCCGGAAATTGATTGCTATTTGTGGTATAATCATGCTTACTGCGAACAGGTCCAAGAAGCCAAGAACAAACGCAGTTACCTCCAAACGACTCATTTTTCCGGTCTGAGAGTTAAAAAAAGCGAGCTATACCGTCATGTTATTTTGATTGATTAGAAAAACCACGCAGATATACTTCTCCTGGAATCCCTGCTGATTAGCTCGCGTCAATTTTTCACATCACTATCAAACTTATCCAATCAACTCTTGAACAGCGAGATCGGTTTCGACTTCCAATGCCATTAATAACCGACGCGCGGCTGTAAACGATCTATATTCAACACTTTGAAGAAGTTCGATCTCTTTCTCGAGACACCGTTTCACTTTATCCACCTCAATAGCTGGAACAGCGTTCTTGACCTTCTCTCGAACATCCTTAAGGAGCCCGTGTTTCAGTGATGTGCCGAAGACCTTCAACGAGTTGACGCCATCTTCAATCAGCCACTCCAAACATTCGTCAAAATAAAATGTGACGTCACCACGGTGAACTACCTTGTGTCCTCCCGCAATATTGAGGATCTGTTTCAGGCAACTTTTGTCTAGGACAATATAATTCCAGCAGTCTGCTTTGATTAGCTCTGGTAGAGCTTTTTTTTGTACGCGCCGAGATTCGAGGAAAAGTTTCGGTGCATTGCCTAATGTTAGTTGAACCGGTACAGGGTCTTGAAAGAGTTTGATCTGAGCGCTTAGCAGGCCATCATCGCTATAATGTGCTTTCACCTCCCCGGCCAATGTCGAAACGACGGTGGAATCAGAGGGCGTACCGCGCACCTGAACTCCAAGCGATTCCGTTAACCTGTAGCATGCAACTGATGAAACCTGCTCTGCTGGGAAGTAAGCTTCAGAAAGCTCCCTGAACAACTGAAAATGATGTGAAGAAATCGAAAAAAAACGGAAAAAAAATTGTTTTTTTCATAGCCATGGGTATCTACAGAAAAATAAGAGTAAGTGCGTTTGCCTTCTTGAGCCTCACATTTTATGTGAAATAATTAAATGTTTTATTAAATAGCGACGTAATTTTTATCTATTAGGTACTTCGTTTCAAACTGGGGTCATACTGAGAATTAATAGACTTTAATAAACAAAGGGGTAAACATAAACCCTTTCGGACAAATGTTAATCGCATATCTTCAACGAGCACACAACATCCTTAAAATTAACTCAACACTTAAACCGAATTTGTATCAAAAGCGCGTATTACCTGGTTGAGTCTTGTCGTACGTTCCGCAACTTCCTCGAATACGTTGGCCATTCTCAAATCAAGGCAAGCCTAACGGCAAGGGATTCCGCATTCTGGAAAACCAGAAGCAAGCAAATCAACAAACATGCACACTGTGTTACAATTTTCCCGGTAAAGGGCATACGCTACTTGCAAAGGTTCCAGTTAACCGAAGCCAATGTGCCTTGTCTAAATTATACTGAAGCACTCATCAAGACTCGCAACGCTCACATACGCATGTTAATTTAATAAAAAAATATCGTACCCATAGTATTATTTTCATCAGGTTTGGCCTTTTTAACATTTCAATTTTTTTTCAAACGGATCTAGTGTGGAAAAGATTGCTTTGATAATCATTTCTGCATTATGGCGTTCGCTTAGCTGGCGGGCAGCTCCTGCTAAATGGAGTGCATCTGTAACACGTAACTATAATAATAAATATCAATAATTCAGGCCACTTTTTTTCCTTCTTAATTAATATAGGAAAAACGCAAGACAGGACTATTCACCTATATATTATCGATACAGATCTCTATCAGTGAAACCCCATCGACTAAAGCCAAAGCACAGAGTGTTTTTAAAGCAAAGCGCCTGCAATACCACACTCAGTTGAACTCAACGCTCAGCGAACTTCGCTTGCAGTAATGAATTGTATCGCAGGAAGAGCCATTGGCAGCAACTGTGTTCATTCGACCCCTAGATCAGTGATCTGTATTTGTCCTATTTATGCATCTCGCGCCGGAGTATCGGTGTCACAGTTGATGCCCCAGAAGCGCTAATCACACGCAAACCAACCATATTACAAGTGGATAATAAATTCAGTAAAGGTTGGATATACGGAAGGTTGCATTGCTGCTGTCGCTCTTGAGCCTTTATAGCTTGTATGTTCGCTCATCCAGCAATTTGGTTCGTTAAGCAACTGGATGGGTCGTGAGATGGGCAAATTATACGATCTTCTCTGTATTGAATTAAAATTAAATTACTGTAGTAATTATAGCAACAGGAATAATTGAAGTAAATATACATAAACAAGAATATTGACATTGAGAAAACTGAATTCGAACTTTTTTACTTTCAAAGTAATAGGAATTGCGAATGATAACAACAGACGACCAAGTCACGTAACTAGTAAATAAGTGAATTGAGAAAATTTATTTCCCGCTAAGATATCATAGGGGAGATTTATCGGATGAGCTTTTGAGGAAAAACCACTTTCAACATTATATATATACATATATATATCGAAAAATATGACTTTTATGAGTGAGCAGGACTTTAATTATAATGTACGATCGTAATTGCTGCATAGAATCGTGCTTAATTTGAAAGCCGCTCTGATCGAAACAAAATCTATCTCTCTCAATCTAATTAAATCTTGCAATACAATGTTGGAAAAGTTACGAGGACGAAATAGTGTCTCTTCTCAGAATAGTTAACAGAAATGGGTTACAAATATGAAGTTTGTTCAGCGATTCCAGTATTCAAGAATATGCACACATTGGTATACGTTTTACGTCTGCTATAAATCAATTCATGTATCTTTCTGCGTGCGGAATTTTGAGACCAGATTTCATCAATTTCGTTTAAACGACAAACACCGCTTGTACATATCTAACATTTGTTCAACTAACTGAGCTATTTCAAACCATTCTGCAATCTTTGCAAAACTTAGCCGATATGGTCGATATATATAGAATATAACTTATTCTGGTTGAAGTTAAGAAATGTACTCTTACCTCAATAGCTTTCTCTTAGATTGGATAGCCAAAATTGATCGCCACAACTGTCAATAGAGGGAAACGGTGTGCTGAGGAATTCATATGCGATATAATCCAATAATGAAGAATTGATTAATGACGTTATTATTAACGGACATATTACTCTGCAATCGCGCAAGATGGACACGTAAGCGGTTGGTCACCATGCTAGGTAAATAGAGATGAGTCTAGCCGAAACTAATACCAAACGTGAACGCTTTTACCAAACTCAATATGTGTTATCCAAGTCTAATTTATTGATACTGAGCAGCTAAACAGCGCAATGCGAAATGTATAAAATAAACGGCTAGTAAAACGATAAACCTCATCATAGAAGTTCCTTTTGATGATGTACCTTCAACTACAGTCGTTGGATCCATCAAAAGGGAATCAGGCGTATGCAGACACGTGAACATGAAACTAGTCGGTGCCTGAGATAAACGCGGGCCACGACGCGGGTGCCTTTTCGGCATTTCTACCAGACATCGTCTACACACGACAATTAACATCATAATACTAGAACAACACCTGTGAGAATGTTAGCGCTTTCAACTCATATGTTTTTTTCTTTTTCTTCCGCTCTCGCTCTTTCTTTTGCTCTCGATGTAACAGAATGCTATTCTACGACAACAGAATCTATGTTTATTAATTGTGACCAACAATATTTTTGGTCTGAAACTATTTGTATCTACGCGATTTCAATAAACAACTAGATGGCCTAGAAGTATGAATTATGAGCTTCTATAGTAGTTTAGGTAACCTCTTCTTTCGCTTCCCCTAGGCCTTTTTAATCATATCAAACTTTTGGGTAGAAAAAAAATATTTAATGAAAGTACACGTTACTTCGTTTTTTTAAACATAAACCTATTTTATTTCATCTGTGTTACGTAATGTATGCGAGTCCAAACCGGTGTAATATACGCTAGTTAGAAAGGCCAATCAATTTACGCCATGATAGGCCGAGCTCTTTGAAAAAAACTTGTTCCTCTTTAGACATTCTAGTATTTTTCATCACATAAATTAGGGTTGGCATATTATAGCACCCAAAAGCTTTTTCATTATATTCCTTACTAGTTTTACGTAAGTCACACTAGTTTTACGTAGCAACAACAATTTGAAAAACTAAACAAGTCTTCTGCTTCATAGAAACATCAAGATGACAATTTATTGTTGATATCGCTCATGTTTTTAGACGTATTGAAATACGTATTTACGAAGAAAATAGAAAGCGACGGAAAGAAACCTATTTTATCTAGTTAATACACCAGTACAGTAGCTGACGGAGTAGGTTTGTTAAAACCTGGTGCTTATGCTTAAACGCGATGCGTAACTCTTTTTGAAAATATTGCACTTCAACTTCTAACCGCGTTTCATGTGTTATTTTTTTTTTATATATAATGTGATCATATCATGGAAAACATAGAAACGACAACGTTATTTATATTGACTCTCACTAGGGAGATACTAGATTTTATGTTATAGTAAATAAATAGAAGAAGACATTTGTGCTAATGCTGTTATGGTTTATTTTTAGCTTCAAACTACATTCATTCAGCCTATTCTGCATATGCGCAATTGCGAATAGTGCTAGGGCAAATCTAGTAATCTTTCCCCTATTTTTCCCCCTAGGATATTGCTCCCGCAACCAGCGGTAGAATGACTCGCATCGGTAACTCTTCCACGTATTTACCGCGCAGAGCATCTTTCAATTCAAGAGAAACTTCACGAATGAGCGATATAGTGAAACTAAGATTACTGACATGGACGATCTTTTTGACAACATAAGTTAACCTTTATATATTCAAACAGTGGTTTGTTACGGCAACAGAACCGTTTGCTTCTCTTGACAACAGTCCTATTTTGCCTTCGCATAAGATGAGAATTGCGCGTTCAAAGTGCGAGGTTGTACCATACGGAAAAGTTGCTTCTGTATGCCCTGATGTCGTATCACTATCATAGCTACTTGACGTTGACACCTTTCAGCGTATCAGCTAGAAGTGGTCCCTTTCCCCGAATCTCTAATTTCTGTCCCATCCAAACAGTGTGTCCTTGTTCATCAATTTTAAGATCGGGCGCAATCCTCTCCCAAATCTTCTTCTTGGGGTTTAGGACGGGTTCTGGATCGGGGTAACCTTCAGCCGGCAAACCTACCCATGTAACTCTGAAAAAGGCAGATGAAAGCAGCGGCAAAGTTTGATTCGATACGTGAGCTGTGTAAATAAATGCAAACGTATTTCACTACTTCTTGCTTATGAAAAGAATGAATATATTGGCTGGAGGAAACGTTTTTTTTTTTTAGAGAAATCTGCCTGAAGTAAGCACATACAAAAGCATAACTGTGAGAGCCCTGAAAATTACATTGGGTTGAACACGATCGCGGGTTTAAACCACAAACATGAGAATAGAAAGAAAATGGTTTCTATGAGCATACACAAGGCCTACCTGTCACCTGGAACGGCATTTTTAGGGGGCCGAATAGGTTCAACTTTTTCATGTGTAGATGCGCACATTAGCATCCCCTCCGAAAGGATTCCACGCATTTTGGCTGGCTTTAGGTTGCACATCACGACTACCATTCGGTCCCGCATATCTCCGATTGGAACGAATTTCACTAGACCTGTAATCGCGAGCGGATCCAACATTATGAAATTGATAAGGCTATTTACATGCTGTATACAAAGGTTGCCTGCAGTTATTTGCGTCATCTCACCCTATCCACACACCTCATACTACATTGCACCAACGCAGCATAATTCCTCGTAAGTAACGCTGCCTACTAAATATGCTGTGATAATTCAGGGTTTCTCAGCAAAGTAGTCGCTAAATCTGTACGACGACTGATTGAATGAATATTTTATCGTTTACGATAAAAAAAAATAGAGCTTTGTAGGTCAAATGTTTTATGGTTTCAAAAATGACACCCGTTTATATGACTAACCTGACAAAATCGTGCGCGGCTTTTCTTCACCAACATCAACCTGCTCAAGATAGAGAGCATCGGCATCAGGATGTTTCTCAATTTGTTTAATGAGACCAATCCGGAGATCCAGTTGCGATACACAAACAGAATCAGCAGCTTCCTTCGTAGATTTGTCTACGTTTTTCTCCTTGCTTGAATCCTTTTGATTGGGTTTTTTAGCAGACTAAAATAAAAACAGAAAAAAGTTTGATCCAGTTGTTACATGCTGTGGTCGAACTTCTAGTCCACTGGAGTAGACGGATTGGCTTTAGGGAACTTATCAGATATCTGTGTATAATTTTAGGAAGGAATAATGAATTGCAACGTTGTTTCTGTATCGACAAAAAAACTATAAGCGCGTTCTTTTAAACGGTTATGAAGTGTCTATATTACCACGACAAGTAATGTTCATAAGAGTACAGACCTCGTTAGCCTTTTTGCTCTTCTTTGGAGTTGTCTCTTCCGATTCTGCCGCCAACTGAGATGATTCTCTCTTCGACTGTTCAACTGTAGTGGGTGTTTTCGACTCATGTGCAACAGTGTTGGTTGAGTTACAGCGTGTTGGCAAAGGATACTTGAAATAACACAAGGAAACTCATGTAGTAGCAGTAGTGAACAGTGCATAACGGTACACCAATAAAGCTGCATTCCACATCATCGATCAAACACTAATTAAGCGAATCTATGTTACGGAAGCTATAGAACGAGTAAACAACACGTTGCGCAACTCTATAGGAACCCCATCCACCTCGAAGGTCGAACTCAGTTTACTCTGCCATGCGTCATTTCTGCGCATATTGTCAATATTTTAAAACAATATGCGAGCATACGTTCAAGCATAATGGTACCCATAAATTCTTTGCTTGTTATTCAGGAATTTATCAACGAGACCTGTTAGCCTTTAGTACCCTGTGTGTGCCTTACAGAGTGTTACACAACACTGTTAAAGAATTACTAATTATTGACAGTTACCTGTTTTTTTCCATTAGCCGTTTCGGCCTTGATTAGTCGCTGGCGCCACGCTTCACATTGCAGGGAAAGCTGTTCGTTTTCACTGGTGAGACGTTGGACCTCTGCTGTGATGACTAGGTATTTGAAAAATGATGCGGATGATGAAGAACAGGCAAGAATAAGTATTACAAAACAATAATCACAATTCGCTGGGTTTTAGCGTTTCGGACAAACGGTTATTATTGTGTTGTTGCAGAGACCTGTATTACCTTCTAATTTAGCAGTTAACATTACATGTGAGTCGGCCAGTTAAACAAAATAAGCGAACGCAATCCTAGGTAAAGTCAACGTTAAGATATTTTCACTAGGATAGAGCATTTGCATCACTAACGTGTGTTATCAGTTTACCTTGCTGGCGTAAGCGGGCTACCTTTTCTCGTAGCTCTTTCAAAAGCATGTCCGCCACCTGACTTCGAGAGAGCAGTTTTGCTACATCCATTGAGCCGGCCACCATTTTTGTCTATGTTACCACTATATATTACGTCACCTGTATATGGCAATCGTAAGTTCTGGTCGTAAATATAGGAACAACTATATGTGGTAATTGTTTGTTAGTTACGCGTGACTAATTCGAACATTTCAGAAAGAGCGGCTGCTCCAGTCTGTCGCTATCCTTACGGAACGTGGCCCTATAGAAACTAACAACCTTTTTAGTATTAACAGTTATTTTCATTGACAGATATAGGCGTGTTTTTGTTTAGAATTGAATACAGTTGACGCTTGGATTAACCGTTCAGTTATAATTATCTATAGTTACGAATCATTTGGGTGCGGGAAAACTCGTGCGGCATCGTAGCGCCCCCTTGCGGTGCCGGCATCAACTACAGACCATAACAAAATCTTCTCCACACGCGATCAAATCGTGTGTTCGATGCAAAAGTTTACGCGGTTTGGTTGATTTTACACAGAAATAACTGAAATTAATATGAGTTCAGTTATAGCTGCTGGTCTTGCTCTGACAGCACTAGGTTTTACAGGCCGTTATATCATGCGAGCTAGACCACTTTGGGGTAAGTGGCAGTTCAGTTACCTCATCCCGGTCTTGTGCATTTCCTACGTGCAATGTGTGCATTAAAGTGTATGTAGTATTCATATACCTAAGGGAGATGGATATATCTAGTTAACTTGGCCCAGGGTCACATGTATACGGAACTTACAATTAGATGACTGATGCAATGTGTGCTTCACGAAAATCGAGCCTTTAGTGCTATTAAGTTTAGACGAATCAACACAGACAGGAAAAAATTGTCTAAGCTCGAATGAAACACTTGTTTAAAGTCTTGTCGTCAGGCATATACTATAGTTTCAACGACCTTGCAATGTGAAAAATTCATTTAGTAATTGTCCTTTTCAAAAGAGGTTCACGGTAATCCTTAACGATTTCAAAAGGTCTAGAGGAGTGCGTCCCTGAGATCGACGATGTCATTTTGAAATCAAGCATGCTATTGCTGCGTACTGCTCTCATTTGTCGTGTTTTTATCGTACACGTCAGATCTATGTATATTTAAAAATAGTTTTCTTGTAAGAAGCAATTTTTCCTAAGCTTCGACAAGACGGTTGTAACAAAAAAAAAAAAGGAAAACAGTAAACAAAAGCTCTTTGCTATATATATATATATATATATATATATATATATATGTGTAAAATTATGGCTTTAAAGCCAATTAACTTAGTTTATATGAGTCGCGTCGGCGTTGCTGTCATTTGAAAGTCGAGATTCGACAATAGTAATGTTAAGACGCAAATGTTGGAATTTATTCAAACTTAAAATAGATCGCTTTGAAGATACGCGAAATTTCTCTAAAATTTGCTATATTTTACGATTTTAATAACAAAGTCATAAATGCTAATGTAAGGCAAAGAGAAATTTGTCCTATCTATGGTCAAAATAAGTTATCGGAAAGAAAAAGCTTAAAGAAGGTTCAGTCGCCCTCGTTCTGAGAGTTTACATGTAAAAGATGCTCCTCATAGTAGCCGACTAATTGCGATAATAACTGCGGAAATTGTTGCGAGAGTTGACACGCGATTGGCTATGATATTGACAAAGGCCAAGGTACTGACCACCAAACAGTCTTAAACCATTTGACGGAACAAAAAGACACTTGACATTTGGATGCCACACGAATTGACGAAAAACGATTTACTCGATCGTGTCTACCTCTACGAAACTGTACAGAAATGCAACGAGATCAAGCCATTTCTAAAGCGGTTGATTACGGGTAAATTTTAGTAGATCATATATGACAATAATGTGCAGAATGGATCATCGTCAAAGCAACGAAAGGTTTTTTAGACTGTGGCGACGCCTGGAGTGACACCAAAGGAGATGGTGTCATGTATTTAACGGCATTGACAAGGTGTCGCGCATTGTAAGCCGCTGCCGTCTAGTAAAACGATTGATTTGAATTTATACTATAACTAACAAGACTACAAGAAGTCACTGAAAAAAATAGACCAAAACTAAAGAAACTCCATATTTTCTACAATGGGAATACTAAACCACATACATTTCTAGCACCTGGCTTAAGGTTCAGTATGTTTATTGTATGACCTGTGTCTTATCGCATCAAAGTATCATCATCTGTTTCAGTATCTGCAGGACTGCTTTAGTAGTGTTAGCTAGGTTTAAATAGATAGATGCAGAAATTATCATAATTTTTTTCCTACAAGTCCTATAGCGACGAGATTACACTGTTACGAAAAAAAATTCAGAAGGTCATTGATCAAAGTGGCACATTTTCCGCATAATAATATTGTTTTAAAATATAAAAAATATTTGTTCCAATTCAGCCTTAAAAGCTCTCATAAAAACCTTTAGAGTGTACCACTTTTAATAGTTACCCCCAAATATACCAAAAGAGCACGAATTCCTAATACTCTTCTTCAGGTAAAGCAATAGAACGACAGATGAAAGAGCTACCGAAGGTGGAGTTCAAAATTAATTTGGATAAATTGGCGCAAGATACGAAATACCACAAGGGTGGCTTCGAGGCGAAAATGTCTAAACGCGAGGCTTGCCTGATTCTCGGGGTTCCTCCTACCGTCAGCAAGGCTAAACTAAAGGTAAGAAAAAGTGGAACTTACCACTTTGCTTTATTTATACGAAAATTTAGTTGAAAATTAGTTTTCTGATCTATCGACTGGCATCAACAGCTACGTACCTAAGCTTAAGAAAGTAAATTTTTAGTGACAATAACTAGACCCAAAGGCTTTCTAGATGATCTGCCCTGAAGTTAACTTTGCGGGTCCAACAAAGCCTCAACTTGCGTGTAAATTAGCTTTATTAACTTGTCCGTTCGTTCGTTCGTGGCATATTCAATTTCAAAGTTATTCGTTGTGATAACGTAGATCCCAGTCAAATACTGTACAATTTGATATTGTCATGAAATTTTAGCTGAAACTAATTTTTATTGTTAGGCAAGCTTGATACATAACCGGTATAATTACTAAATTAGTATTTTAATTAGCTGATTAATTCATTCATGCAAGTAAATATTCATGCAGTTAACAGCACACACATCTAGGTTCTTAGAAACCTACCCTTTGACATGGCTATCAGAGAAAATGTAAATGTCGTGTAAGATAACCATAGACGCAGTCAGGGTACGAATTGCACGCTGGACACCTCAGGCAATAGCATAACGAGAATACGTAACGATTCAGTGACCTTTATGGTGATTAACTTGAACAGCGGACCAATGTTTCTGTATCTAGTAGATCATAGTAAGTTTTTAGCTCTTTTCTAATGGCACAGTCTTTGCAATTAATAGGCTTCAACGTGCCAGAACGAATGTTTGAAGGTAGTTCCGTAGAGCCTTTTTAGAGAAAACCAGCCGTTCGGTCTTGAAGTCGTTTACTAAATTTAGTGCACATAATTAGTCCGTTTTCTTCTTGGTACCTTCTATCTGTTTCCAGTTTCGTAACTTAAGATATTTTCATATAATTACGTCTTTGATCTGGTAATCGGTTCAGGCTTTAGATAATATGCTCTAACTATTATTATCATTGTAAATATAACCGTTACCTATTGTTATTACTAATGGGATTCACCTATTTATTCCATAGAATTTTTGCTTAACTCTAATTGCCGCTGCGTTCTCTGTTTAATTATCCTCAGGAAGCCCATAAGCGGATTATGCTTCTTAACCATCCCGATCGCGGTGGCAGCCCCTATTTAGCAGCAAAAATCAACGAAGCCAAAGATCTTTTGGATAAATAAATGCCCTTCTGTAATTTTATCTAAACCGTAGAATTCTGGCATACATATACGGATAGACACACATTTAGGCAATTGCAATATTGTATAGTAACGTATAGGCAGAGAAATGTTTTAATATTAAAGTATAACCTAGTGGAAGAATATAGAAGCACAAACAGAGAAAAACTTATATATAAATAAATAATTAATAACATTACGACTACTGATTTTTACATTGTGTTAGCTGTGTATGTGAATATAGATAAGCATGGCGTGGCTTGGGTGGTTAATATAGGTTTTTTAGTGCGTTTCTGTGCGTTTTAGTGCAGCCCTGAGCATGCGGCCATCGCCGGTTCAAACTTAGGCGTTGGTAATTAGGTTCTGGGTATTTTGTATTACCGTGCCACTGGTATTAATTTTTGTTGATATTGGTTACCATGTCATATAAGTGAGGAAAAAAGCTCGGTTGAGAACAGGAAGATACGCAGGCTAGATGGCTGACACTTGGCAGTGTAAATCTATCCTTCATGGGTTCAGGCGAGGGACTGAAGTGGGCCCAGTTATGCTGTAGGGTTTAATCTTATTACTTTAATAGCCTAACTAATAATTGGCTTAACAAATGTACCATTGATACCGACGGGAAGTAAAAGATGTAACAACCAATTTGGCGAAGCAAGCACGGTGTCAACTTAGCAGGAGGACACTTTCTGGTAGGTGTATTTAGTTTTTTCAGGTTTTAGAGAATTTATTATGAAATTAATAATATTAGTATTAGCCAATTTGACAATGATGACTAGTCAGTCCAATATACGAGTTAGGCGCGTATTTCGACATATACACAAGCGCTTTGTTCAAATGATCGTTATTACATTAAATGATCGTCAGAGGCTACATTCAATAAACGAAAATTTGTATTAAAAAACCTAAAATTGGGGGTAATCTGACTACCCGTATAGCTATTCCTCTACTGTTTAGATCGAGCACATGGGCAGAATGAGAGCAACTGACAAAGAAGTATATACTCCAGCTAAATCATGATAAGCCCAAGGAAAGATTCGTGTTTCAAATTTTGCCTGACAATCCTTGCTGTTAGATCTAGATATGGCACGACAAACTGTTAATTCGCTTGAATTATACCTCGTTAATCAATCGGAGAATATTTTATAAGATTACCGTTTCTTAAACAGAAAACTTAGGCAGAATTAATGTTTACGTAAGATTTGGTATGATTTGTCTACGATGATTAATATTAATTGTGAAGTGGTCTATTCGCTTGGCTTAGTTTCAACGTATACGGAGTATACGGAGCAATCATGGTAGTCAATGATGCTGTTAAGAAGAGACATTCTATTTGCTTATACAAGTATTTACGAGCATTTAACCTTAAAAGGTTGATTCACAGATAGCAGGAATTAATATGTTGAAATGCAAATTCTATCATATCACTCTATATATAGCGTATGTGGTGGGACTCTAGTTATGTGTACCTTCATTTTTCTAGTAAAGGCTTGACTACTAACCTCACAAATGATGCGCTTATGTCTTAGGTGCAGCCATTTAAATAAACATGTTCTATTTGTTGTAGAATACAATCAAGATACAATCAAGTACGATAGATACATTTATAATTAGGATTAAGTCATAATAAATCTATTAAACTTTATTTTTGGCTTTGAAATGTAAATAGGCCCGAAGCCAGATGACATATATGTATAGGGTGGGACATGTGCTCGCTTGCTATTATTGGTGCTAGAAAAGAACTAATTATTTATATAATTAAAACAGCAAACCTATCATGGCGGAAAGCAGTATAGTTTTCGGTATATGGACAAAGATTAGGTATTATTAAATGTATTTACGCGGGAATAACTCCTATCAAGATTCCCCTTTTTGCACAAAACTTATTTTTTTGCTCGAAATGCACTGTTCACCTGATTGCTAATTTCCAAGCGGTTTCTGAGAAATTCAAGAAGGATTTTTAAGAGGAAAACCGAAAGATCCTTAATAGAGTTTAGATTTTTTACCGAAAATGGCCTGAGAATTAATTTTCGTTACATCTGGAATTTTATCCGGAATATACAAGGCTAACGGCCGTTCGAAAGAGTAGAATTTCAACTGCTAATTGGGCCATCCACACAAGTTCTAGCGGACTATCTTTTAGAAAGTCTCTGTTCTTTTCTGCCCCTTTTAAACTTTTTAGGTCTTTGTTGTTTTGGAACCTTTGGTTTGCCTTTGGTTCTAAACTGAGAATGTGATTGCAAAAAATGATGGCTATATTGAATAGACATAACCATCAGAAATTTCACTTCTATTATATGCAAAAAAAATTCACTGACATATTTGTTTTAGGTACTGCCTCATAAGTAATTCTTGAACAAAATTTTATTGATATATATTTGTTTTTACATTTATTGACATATATATTTTATTGATTCATATTTATAGGAATTTAAATGCTCCAATCGGTATATATATATTTTTTTATTATTACGCGATACAGCCGCTCACATGCTTGCTTTACGTTTACAAATGTATACATAAAAAATATCCACGCTATAATAATATTAGTGTTGAGAGGTTCTTGAATAAGTAAAATATATTTAAAAGCAACGTAAGTAATTTAGAACATATTAAGATCATTTTCAAAGTTTTTATATATAACGATATATATCGACGATTTATATAAATGGTTAAGCATTACTTTGTCAATCTCGATAAATTAACTCTCATAATCTTTGTTATGATTATATACCCAGAAAGTTCACTGCATTGTGTTCATGTGAAAACATGAAAACGTATAGGATATTTTTTAGTAACACCCAAGAAACAAATATCTATCACATTTAACAGAGTGGCTGTTAAGACAATATCAAAGATTGACTTAGATGATCAGCCGATACGGGCTTCGTTACTACATTCTCCCATAAGGCGATCGAACAGTGCGAAAAACGCAGATCAGCATTCATATAAGTCTACGAAGTCAATGTACAGGCCTAAATTATAAGACGGAAAGATCCCGAATCAATATTATAAGAACTTACTGAGCCGGAGTTTTGTCGGGGCGTACAGGATCAGTCGTCATTAAAATGAGAGACACACCACATATCAGAATTATATCCAGCCATTTTTATTACACTAGAGCACCTTAAATGGGGTAAAGCGCCCGCAAAAGAACGCATAATGCATTGCGTCAAGCAGGAAACACAAAGCCTTAACCGGTGCGAATGTCGACGAGCGCCCTGTTCCAAAATGAATGGCTGCTTGTAAGTTTTATATCCGGTACTGCTGTTAAGAGTGGTGTGCTGGTCTGTATAGCTTGAAACATAACTATATATATTCGATGGACGCGGAGTTAAAGGACTCCCGCATAAATAAAGGACAGTTTTTCTATCTGGAAGTGTTTTAGCAGCCTTGTTCCCCTGCAAAAAATCGTCGTTCTAGTTAGTTGTTCTAGGAGCTTTCCAAAATCTGTATGGCACTGAAAGCCATCTTTTTTAGGGATCAAAATAATGCATGCTTCCATGCAGGGCATACAGATAGTGGTGTACCACTAATATAGTTGTAACTATCGACGGAGTTGTACGGAATCAACGGAGCAGATATCTTCAATTAACAGGTTATCTCTTGGTGATGGGTCATTAAGATGAAGTATGGCATAATGCACGGCTTCATTGTTGAGGGAAATAGAAGCGAAACGATTTACTACTCCATTTTTTTAATAAGCATTGCGTCTTTCGCTAAATTGTTGCATCGCCGGAATGGCAAAACTTTATGTCCAAGCTAATGTAACAATCTTTTGACAAACTATTTCGTAACAATCACAACTTATTTTAATAACAACGTGTAGTTTCTATAGGTACGTTTTTAAGTTTCCTTCATATCTCCAAATTAAAGTAAGCGAACAGAGAAGAAAGTAAGTTATCGTCACTGACCTACCTCTCTCTGATGATGGGTTCGTTTTCTAATATTGAACAGTATAGCCCAACATATCATCTCCACCAATATATGACTCGGCTCTGGTGTTCGCGTTGTATGTAGCGCTACGCTGAAAACACAACGACTTCGACAACTTTGTCTATAGAGCCGGCTACCGTTGCCTTCAATCTAGCCGTCACCAATGCTTATCTCATTATAAAGAACGTAATGGGTTATAGGGCTATTTGATAACATGTTTAAATTATCCGAAACAGTAATTTTTTATTGCAGGAAACATGTCATAATCTGAGATATTGTCTGAGAGATAATTCTCCTCTAAAAGCGGACCAAATACACACAACGGAACAATACTAACGATAAAAAATATGATGCTCTTTGGTGGTGCTATTCAACTAATAAGTAGGATGCCGATCATCGTATTGATACGCATTTCTTTTCTGATGTAATCGACATATGCCTTTTTCTTATAGAAACACGTTTGAAGGACTCCTGTAACGAATGTGGCCTTCTGAATAACCAAGGGCAGGTATCAATGTTGGCTATTTCATTTTATTGCGGTGTAGATTTCAGTGGCTATTTTCCGTATGATTACCGTCGGAAACGCCTCCCGAAGCAAAGGGGCGTCAATAAATCGCAATGCCTCGTAACTCGCTCGGCGAAACCCTTCATGGTTTTGTATTGCCGTGGTTCACTCGGATAGATTTCATTGTCACTGGTAGAAAGCTAACTAAAGCTGCAGGTCGCACCGTTCGTCGAAACGGCAGTAGTCAGTATTCCGTTTTGAAGTTTCCACAGGTAGACCGATTGGCACAGCAAAACATTTGGGGGAGTTTCACATGGGCCTTTCTTGGCTAACGCGAGCTGAATGATCGTAAGCACAGTCGGTAGAAAAGAATATCTGGAATATCTAGACGGGCTACTTCCGCTGAATAATACTATAGAAGGATAAAGATTTTATGTACAATCAATTCGATACGGCGATAAGTAGCTAGCGAATGGCTTTCGACGCCTGTGTGCAAGCGGAAAAAGGCTCATGTGTATGTGATCACATTGCTGAAGCATGTTCCAGTCCGGCCAGTTTAACCATGAGGCTTACTCTATTGATATGTCTGGATGTAGATTTTTCCCGTTACAGGTAATACTATGAAATGAAGAAAAATTCCAGCATTTTATGACGATGAACAAAACGAAAAAAAAGAGGGTTAATTACAGCTTAAATGCGACAGAGCTGAGCAGACTCTAAGCGCCGGAAATGTGTGCCGCAACGAAAAATTAG